TACATATGCTCAAGGATCTCGGGCCCCGGGACACGTTATTTCATTTAAGATGCACATACAGTACCTCAACCAGACCATATTGTTGAGAATGAGCCTATATTTGTTGTCTGTGTGGAACGTGCTTTCGTATACAAACCCAAAAGGGGGTGAAAGTGACTTGGGATCTTGATGCAAAGTCGCAGGGCATCCTGTACCTGAAAGCCAGTTGGTGTGTAGGATGCACAGCTGAGGTTGGCTGGTTGGTTAGAAAAGTCCAATGATGTAAGATGTAAGTCGGCACAAACAAGACCGAGGGATCGATCCAATGTAATGCAGCGCCACCCAAGGGCGACGAGTCTCACGAGCCACTATCCCTAGGCCAGCAGACACACCTTGGCTTGACTTTCTGACCTTTCAGGCTTTCACCATAGGTACATACAGTTTTTGACAATTGACTATTCCTACACTTTAGCCCTGAAATTTACATTGCGGTACAGTAGAAATGGATTTTCCCGCACACTTAGTTAGCTCAAAGCCTGAGGTGCCTGTCTGGGCATTTGGGGGGGGTTTGACTTTTGACTTGACCCTGCGGCCATTTACTCGGGGCTCCAGCTTCTCGCCCGTCCGTTAATAAAACCACCGACACGGGCCCTCAACCACCTGGGCTCACATCACCTCACATTGCCTCGTCGCTCTCCTGATATTCTTTCAAGCGTACCAGCAACCCTAGTCAGGGCAACCGAAATACCCAAGCAACACATTTCGAGGCTACCAGTATAATAATTGCAACCTGCTGCGTTTCGATCTGCAGACCCTCTAATGGGCGCAGCCTATTCTGGGTGACGTATAACAGACAGACACAACCAGCAAAAAAGACAGGAAAAGACGACTGCGCCAAGCACACGAAGCAACAAGCCTTAGCTTAGATTATAGGAAGACGAGGCATACAGCACAGCACAATAACAACACAGAACGTTACAACACACGGAGTTTATCGACTCATTGACACCGAACACCAAGAGACTGGAAAAAAACAGTAGGGCAAGGGCTCAAACTCAACAACTCCAAAAAAGGAAAGATCTCTATCAAGCCAGACCTCAACTTCATTTTATCCCATCAGGGCCCGGGCTCTTACAAAAACAAACCACCTACCCAGCATCCATCGATTCAAACAAGTTCCCGCGGGATTAGACCCTCCACTCCCACTCCAAGCCAACCTTACCTGAACCTGGACGACATTAGCTTAGGCTAAGCTTGTGAAGAAGCCAGCAAGCAACAGCCAGCGCCACTACCGCAGCTTTTTAGGGTCCTGCATTCTTCCCCACTGCTAGTCGCGGCACGGCACCACCGAGCCCACCAACGACGACACCCCCAAGACCTCCAAGTCAGCCTCCAACTGCACTGGGACTGGGCTGCATGCGACCTGGTGGAGGCCCTCCCACTCTACCGTCCATCATTTCAGTTCACCTCACCTCTCCAAGACTCTACTCGACTCAGACTCACCTCCGGTCAAAGGTCAAGAAAGCGAAGCTAGTGGACGCCCCGAGCACCCCAACAGATTGACGCCACTGAAAGGTACAACAGCGGAGGAAAAGGGACCCCTCCCTCAAAGGAAACACACACCAAAGTCCACTGAGGAGCCCCCTGTGGACCACTACGCCGGGCCTTACTGGGGCGATTTTCATTGTTTATTGGTCGACGTGTTTCTTGAAGAGTCAGAACCTGTCGCCAATTGCTCGATTTGGAGTTTAGTCTCCCTCGTTACTCAGATGCCTTCAGCGATTCCGGTGGCCCCTGCAGGTACGTACATGGCCGTAGTTTCCTTGTCCTTGCCTTGTTTCTTAACAGCTCCTTCCAACAATGACTACGTATTTGCCCTGCCATTCTCTCATGCTTTATTAGCCATTCAACTGCTGCTACACATCCAATCTTTCTTGTTTCTCTTCTTCTCCTCATACAAACTCTGAATCTCCAAAAGATCTTCGACATCCATTGCTACCTTGTTGTTGTTTGATCAAATCAAATTGTTTCAATTCTGTTTATCATAACTTGAACCCCTTATACCTACCCGATCGCATCTAGCACTCCAAGACACCGAACAATCAACCATAAACGTATCTAAAATCTAGACGCAGGTCGCCGACAATCAAAACAGTCCGGACTGTTAAAATCTGTGATGCATAACCTCCTCGGTGTATCACCTCCTTCGCCAGCGCTGCCAGCGCAACATTCGTCTGCAGCGCAACAGACATCCTCAAATTCTCTACCACCTACATCGAATCCTAGCTCGAATCCGACGTCAAACCCAACTTCAGACCCTTCCTCGAATCCAAACAACCCAAATAACTACGCGGTTCTTCCTCCACCAGCAGATGGTGACCATGACCATCTTCCTCCTCCAGCAAATGCACCTTCCTCGTTGGCTGTGGCACTGCGATCGCTAAACGATTTGACCGAAACCCCCACATATGCGCGAAGCGTCACTTCAACAGCGCCGAGCTCGCCACGCATGTAAGTGCCGTCATTTTTTTCTCTTTTTTTCCACAGTTGGGGTCGCGAACCACATATCCACCACCTTCGGCCCTTTTAGTACTGGCGATCCCGCTTTTAGAACCCCTCAATTGACGTATGGAAATAGTCCTCCGCTACGACAGAATTCTGGACATCAAACACCACGAGTCCGGCCACATGCGACAACGCTCAACATCCCGGGCATGACCCGGTCAAGAGTCTCACCCGATGGAAGAATTCCTTCTCGTGATGTTGCCGCAAAGCTTGTTATTGTCATGGTTGGCTTGCCGGCCCGAGGAAAGTCTTACATCACCAAGAAGCTTCAAAGGTATCTTTCTTGGCAGCAGCATGATTCTCGCATTTTCAATGTCGGAAACCGAAGACGTGTAGCTGCCGGACGCAGAGTTTCTGTCCACCCAAAGTTGCAGCCTGAGCCGGAACACATGGATCCTCCTGTGCATGCGGCTTCCATTTTGCTAAATGGTAACCCGGCACCGTTTGGCCCCGAGCAGGCTGAGCCGGAGAAGCTTGATTTGAACGATGCCGCTCAATCCGAGGTGGACCAGTCCGCTACATTCTTTGATCCCAAGAACCAAACTGCCGCGGCCATGCGTGAGCAGTGTGCTATGGATACTTTGGACGAGCTGTTGGACTACCTTCTCGATGGAGGCGGCGCTGTCGGCATTCTTGATGCCACAAACAGCACTATTGAACGAAGAAAGAACATTACCAACCGCATTAAGCAGAGGGAGCCTAAGCTGGGTATTCTTTTCATTGAGAGTATCTGTCAAGATCCTACTCTTCTCGAGGCGAATATGCGGTTGAAGCTGTCTGGTCCTGACTATCGTGACAAGGACCCTCAGAAGTCACTGGAAGATTTTAAGAAGCGAGTCGCTGCATACGAGAGTGCGTACGTTCCTCTTGGTGAATACGAGGAAAAGCACGACTTGCAATACATCCAGGTTTGTGGAGTTCGCCACGATTTTGACCATCAGAAGCTGACCAAATTGTAGATGATTGATGTTGGCCGAAAACTGATCCAGCACCGTCTCAAGGGTTTCCTCAGCAGTGGTATTAGCACTTACCTCGCTAGCTTCAATCTTGCCCCTCGACAGATCTGGATTACCCGACATGGTCAGAGTGTCGATAACGAGCTTGGAAGATTGGGTGGAAACTCACCGCTTACGGAGCGCGGCCATTGCTACGGCCAAGCTCTTCACAACTTCATAACTTATCAGCGCAAGCACTGGCTTATTGAGCAGAAGAGCAAGAAAGCTCAGGCTACTTTCCCTCCTGTGCCCGGTGACAACACACCCCCCTACCCTGAGATGTACCGGGAGATTGAGGACAAGAACTTTTGTGTCTGGACTTCGATGCTCGATCGCAGCGTGGACACAGCTGAATACTTCGAGGCCGACGATGATTACGATGTAAAGAACTGGGAAATGCTTAACGAAATGAACTCGGGCCAGTTCGAGGGTATGACATATGCGGAAATCGCACAGAAGGAGCCCGAGGAATTTGCCAAGCGAGCGCAGGACAAGCTCAACTACATCTATCCTGGAGTCGGGGGTGAAGGTTATCTGCAGGTTGTGAGTCGTCTGCGCGACATGGTTCGAGAGGTTGAGCGCATTGAAGATCATCTTCTTATCATTGGACATCGCTCTGTCTGTAGAGTCCTGATGGCCTATTTCATGGACCTGTCCCTGGCGGACATCACAGACATGGACATCCCCCTTGGCATGCTCTACTCTATTGAGCCCAAGCCTTACGGCCTTGACTTCCATGCTTACCGATACAACGAAGACCAGGGCTGGTTTGACGAGCTCCCCAACTACAAACCTACAAAGACGGCCCGCAACAGCATCATCAAGCCACAGCATTAATCGTTTCCGGCTATTTGCCGGAATCAACCGGCTTGTACAACATATTTACTCTAACTACTACGATTTGGCATCTCCTTCATGTACTTTTTTCCTTTGGCGTTATAGCGGGGTATGATATTATACGAATGACGCGCAAAAAGAGGGACTATCCACACTATCAATGGAACGGAATGGCATCATACACAAAACAACAAAGGAAGGGCTGGCGTTTTCCGTTCGATTGATAAAGAGACACCTCCGATGTTGCGACGCAATTATTCGCATCGGCTATTTCATTTAGGCGTTTTGGGAGCAAGGTTTCTCCTCATGTTAAATGATCGAGACTGTATGGATTTGGGCGGTTCTGGTCGAGTCATGTACCAGCTTATGTTTGGAAGCTGTTGGTCTCGACCTACGGTGTTACGTGTTGTGTTTTATCCCTTGTCTCCTTGCCGCGGGCGATGAAGGAACGAAGAGAGATTCTTAGATGGGATTTGGAATGTGATGGATAGATACACAGCACGACGCTCACGCCGACGGATATGACGCTCATGGGAAACTTAAAGTTTTGAGTGCTTGTTCGAAAGGGATCTTTTACTGTCTAGATCTGATAGTTATAAGAAATTCACGTTTCTATATGTATCTTCCTTCAGTCTGTTGCCTATCTGATGCCCTGCTTAGATCAAATCAAGGTTAAATGTTTGTGACATCTTGGACTGAGGTTTGGTCTATGAATCACGAATGGTATATTCTTCAATAAAGTCATCTAGATTACCCATAAATAGACGACCCGAACGCCTTGCAATGCCCTTCCGTGCCTTTGTAATCCCACTGAACTTTTCTCATTGCTGCAACTGTAAGACTTGTTGCACTTCCCTTACTTCTCTCTCGCCAGAATCATCTTTTCTCTCTCTCCCCTGCGTCTCTCGAATTGCTTCTTAGTATGACGACGCTCATTCTCCTCACGGCGCTTAATGCTCTTGAGCTCCTCAGCCTTAATCTCGCCGGCCTTCTTGAGGACCTTGGGCACATGACGGTGACGGTGAATGCGGCGAACTTCAGGCATGTGCTGGTAACGCTCGATAAGAGCTTCATTGTACTCCAGGGCCTGTCGTTGACGAGCTGACTTGACACCTTCACGGCGTGAGGCGTTGGCGCGCCAGAGTCGAACGTTACCATCGTCGGATCCAGAGAGAATGTAGCGCGCGTCAGGGGTCCAGCTGGCTGCTGTAACACGCTGCATACGCTTGGTGTGGTAGATATCTCGCGAGTGACCGCGGTCTCGGTTCCAGAGACGAACGGTTCGGTCCCAAGATGCGGATACAAGCTCTTCACCAGTGGGCGACCATTCGACATCCATGACGGCGGCGACGTGATCCTTGAGAACGTTGAGAGCACGGTCAAACTTGCGCATGTCGAAGAGGTAGATGTTGTGATCTTCAGAAGCAGCAGCCAGGTTGAAAGCCTCCATAGGGGACCAAGATAGGCGGTTGCTGGCGAACTTGAGGACGGTCTTTGTGACAGGTGTAGATGTGCGGAGGTCGTAGATGACGATGGAGCGGTCGTTGGAGCATGATCCCAAGATTGAAGTCTCGACGTAATTGAAGGCAACGTCAGTGATGGTGTCGACAGATGTAGGCCATTTGAGAATTTCAGGCGCAGCGGTGTGACGTTCGAGATCGTAGATGTTGATCACACTAGAAGCAGCAGCAAACGAGTTCTTGGAGCGATGGTGCGACAAGCTGGTAAAAGCACCATTTCCAAGCCATGATGATATAGGGGCCGCTTCGCTAGGTGTGTTATAAGGGTCAAACAACTTGATCGTTCTATCGGCCGCACAGGTCAAGAGCTTTTGATCGCGAGTCCATTCTAGACCCTTGACGATATTCTCATGAGCTGTCGCATGCCATATCTCGTCTCTATCGGCTAGGTCCCAAACCTTGACAACACCGTCACCACTACCACTTGCAAAGTGCTCAAGAGAGTTGGGATCCTTGGCGATGGAATAGACACCGTCGACATGACCCCGTCCTAGCTGGCCTACGAAAGGCTGCGCATGCATTCGCTCGAGCTTGACGGCATTGAGGGCTCGCTGGTACTCGCGTGCGCGCTCAAAAGGATGGAGGGCGGAATCGAGGTTTCGTGGTTGCTTTGTAACATCTGAGCCGGCTGCTTGTTGAGCCGACACGGAGCGGCTGAGGGCCTTGATCTTCATGTCGAATGGCCCTGTAAAGTTGATTTTATTGACTGTAGCTGTTCTCGAGGCTGGTGATTTTGGCGGGGACTGAAGCAATGGATATTTTTTTCTGTTATCGCTGAAGTACCCTTGTCAAACCGGACGATAAGAGGGGGATTACTAATATTCCGGGCACGAGCCAGGTACACCAGCAGATCGCATATGCACGTCTAAAGTCAGGGCCTCAGTTCGCATTGTTGCGAAAACTCACCCTCTTTATTCCATTTACGCCTTCACCTTTTGATCCTCGCAGTTTCCAATCCTTTTTCCTTTCCGCACGTCAATCTTCCAATAACGGTTTTTGCTACTCGCGACACTGCGCCTACTCTGCTAGTTGATTCTTTCAGGCGCGCGACGCTTGCAAATATGGATGGAATGGATTATGACCCGATGGTGATGGATGGGGAGCCAGAGCAGCCCCAAGTGAAGATCTCTGCGGTATGAGAAGGCTCCCGAACCCTTTTTCTTTCGGGGGACACTCAACTGATGTGATTTGATGTGACTCAGGCCGATCACACCCACGTCGATTTCGAGCTATCAAAGACGAACCTTGCTTTCGCCAATGCCGTGCGGCGAATTATCCAGGCAGAAGTGCCCACGATCGCCATTGACCTGGTCGAGATCGAGACCAACAGCTCCGTGCTGGCCGACGAGTTCATCGCCCACCGCCTGGGCCTGATTCCTCTCGACTCAAAAGGAGTTGACGAGCTCAACTACTCACGAGACTGCGACTGCGAGCAGTACTGCGAACAATGCAGTGTCACTCTGACACTGCACGCGAAGTGCACGTCCGACGAAATTATGAAGGTGTATGCGCGGGATCTGGTGGTGGATGGTCGTCATATGAATGGAGTGGGAAGCCCAGTGATCACAGATCCAGAGGGTTACGGCTGCTTGATCGCGAAACTGCGCAAGGGCCAAGAGTTGAAGATTAGCTGCATTGCCAAGAAGGGAATCGCAAAGGAGCACGCCAAGTGGATGCCTACATCTGCGGTCGGCTTTGAGTATGATCCTCATAACAAGCTGCACCATATTGACTGGTGGTTTGAAAACGACACAGACCCTGCTGTTGAATGGTGAGTTCTATGAACAAGTCCCTAGGTTATGGCTAACGTCGTACTCCAGGCCCAAGAGCAAATATGCTGAGTGGGAAGAGCCTCCTCAAGAAGGCGAACCCTTTGATTACGATGCAGTTCCAAACAGGTTCTACTTCGAGGTTGAAACATCAGGGAGCATGGAACCCGACCAAATCGTGCAAAACGGTATCAGAGTTTTGCAACAAAAGATCGGTGGTCTTCTCAAGGGCCTAGACCCGAGGAAGTATGGCGGTGACGAAGCTGAGTTCGATGGTCCTCGAAGTCCTGATATGAACATGGACGGCGGTACCACACCTTGGCAGGATGGAGGGTACACTACGCCTTATGGTGGTGGCGGCGGCCAGACGGCGTACGGAGGTGGCATGACAGCCTACGGAACAACACCGTACGGAGGATCCTCTTGGCAGTAAGGAACAGAGGCGTTTGATGGGTTAGGCAATTCGTAATCAAGAAAGGTTTGGAGGTATAAACAGGAGGTGATCTGGAAACTAGTAACAGTCTCGAAAAAAAAACAGCATAGCACGGTCTTAGAATGGGATCTTTTTTTCAGGAGACAAATCATGGTACGACGTATACATTTTAGTGCTCTGAACGACAATGCTAACTTCTATACCCGCCCCTGTCCTCTTCTATGCTGAGTGTGTTTTACAAAACAGGTTCCCACACAAGAAGCTCGTGTAAGAGATCTTGAGTAACAAAGCAGTAACGCCAACAGGATGATCACCGCTCTTGAGTGACGAAACGACGAAACGACAACGCCAAAACATGCCCATCTTCCTGGTCTATCATGTCATGTCAAGTCTACAGGTTAGTATCCAACCCCTTAACCTTGCGGTAGGCCTTTCGGTGCATCTCTAGGAAGACAAATGTACAAATAGTTTGTCTGCGAAAGCGTTAGGTGGGATTTGATACAGAGAAAGGAGGTACGTACGGTCCGAGTCGGAGGAAGCTGGGGACCCAGCCTTTAAACATCCACATAAGACCGTCAGTTCGGTGAATGTCGCGAATCAGGTGCAGGATGTTGTGATCATATGCTGAAGACATAACACGAGTCTTGATAACGTCGATAGGGCTTGTTACAGTAGCAGCGACCAGACCAGCAATGAAAGAAGAAGTAAAGTGAGTCTTGAGGTTATCCTCCATGGGCGTATACTGGAGAAGCAAACTCTTCGAGACATCATAACTGGCAAGCTGACCAGCAGTCATGAACATGGCACGGCCACTGTTGGGCAACCATCCACGGAACATGCTCTTAGGCCCTTCCTCACGCGCCATACGAACCATACCGTCAAAAGCATGACGGTAGTTTCGGCGCTCAGCAGGGGGAAGCGCAGCATCATGTTGCATGCGCACGTTGAGAACATCGGCAAAGTTTCCAGCAATACCTCCTACGAAACCAGATCCAGCGGCTAGGGCAACGAGTGTCATAAAAGATGGATCGCGACCTTCGTTACGGCGTGTAAGACGTGTCTTGACCTCTTCGTAAACGCCGAATCGCACGGTTGAATATGTCATCTGGCGTAGTAGAGAGGCGGATATGCCGCTGTAAAGACCGAGGGGACCATCGTGACGAAGAATGTGGACGAACGTGCCGACCATGTTCTTGGGCGCATTGCCTGTGCGCATTTGAAGACGAACCTAGAAGAGTGTAAGAGTTTGTTATGCTATTACGAGACACCTGTGAAGAGTTACCTTGACTGTTCAATGTTAGCTGAATTTCGTCATATTTCGAGATCGCAAAACGTACCAAGATCCAAAGGATGTGTAACGCAAGCTGCCATGCTACTGGCACTGCCGCCAAACCAAAAGGGATATCTTATCGTCGTCTTCTTCCCATCAGCCGTCGCCTTTCCTGTCCTTACAGGCGCCGTCTCCGTCGTTTTGCTCATTGCTTCCTGACTGGTGGCCATGACGTGCGTTGGTTTTTTAGTTTCACAAGCCAAAGTAAGAGTGGGAAAAAAGGACGAGTTTAGCTTAGACTATCTAAAGTTAAGCTGCTCAATGCCGATCAACTGAAGGTTCCATAACTTGACTTATCTTGTAAGTTAAGTTAGGCCAAGTTGAGATGAGAAGTGGATGATGTGGGAAGGAAAAAAAGAAAAAGGTCGGTTAGTTATGATTACTACTACAGCAAGGGTTCGCTTTTTTAAGTGCATGAGCCTCAGCTGTTGCTACCGACATCGCGGAAAGTTATCAATTGGCCCGGTGTTTAGCTACTGTAACCGGACAATCGGAGCGGGATCGGCTGTCAAGTCGCCGAAGCGAAGCAAGGATAGCGCTAGATTATAATGCTATGCGAGGCCGTTGGAGAAGAGCTGAAGTTGAAGTTAATTGTGAGTGAGTCGGGTTGGTTATATCCGGAGGAGCTGTAAGGCCGAACGCCGAACATTTTTGCAGTTTTGGTGTACAACAAACCAATCGTGGAACCACTCTCGGCGTTCGAGTATTCAATTTACGATAAATCAATCAGCCATTGGCGTCTATTGCGTGGCCCGTTCGGCCTGTGATGTAATTGTCGAGCTTCACAAGTCTTCAGAATGAGATTCTACGTCCAGGGCATGCGATGCCTGAGGGCTTCTGCCCCGCGAGCCGCCCAGCTTTCCCGGAGCTCTATTCTCCTACGAACAGCTTGCGCCGTGAGGACTTACTCGTCGGGTCGGTCTACTTCCAGTCAATTACTTGCATGGGCGTCTCGCTGACTGGTTCGGCCTTGTTGCAGCACCCCCGACGGGATCTCCAGGCTCCGTGACTATCCGCGACCAGACCATCAAGACTGATCCTCAATGGTTCAATGTACCCGACAATGTCCTCGATGCCACTACAAGGAAACTTCACCTATTGAAAGACCATCCTGTGTCTATCACCCGCCAGATTATTCAGGCCAACTTCCCTGAGCCGACGTACAAGTATCACAACGAGTTCAGCCCTGTGGTGTCGACAGCTCAGAACTTCGACTCGCTAGGATTCCCCGCGAATCATCCCGGTCGCGCCCTGTCCGATACATACTATTTGAATAGCGAGACACTACTACGAACACATACGAGTGCTCACCAGGCCGACACATTCCGAGCTAACCAGAGCGCGGGATACCTTGTGTCTGCCGATGTGTACAGGCGAGATGCCATTGACCGAAGTCACTATCCTGTGTTCCATCAGATGGAGGGTGCAATGTCGTGGGATCGTACTAAAGTTCCCAATGGCGACGTTGCTGCTGCGGTATGGAAGGACTTTGAGAAGCTACCCGTTCATGGAGTCAAGGTTGACGACCCGAACCCTCCTATGCATCCTGACACAAACCCTCTCCAAGATGCTCACCATACAGCTGCCGAGGCCGAGGCCATCGGTGCTCATCTCAAGAGGTCACTAGAAAACATGGTTGTCGATATCTTCTCCCGGGCCAAGGCTGCTGCGATCAAAGATGACCCCAACTTTGTGGATGAACCTCTTCAAATGCGATGGGTAGAAGCTTATTTCCCCTTTACCAGCCCCTCATGGGAGCTAGAAGTCTACTATGCCGGCGACTGGCTCGAGGTCCTGGGCTGTGGTGTGGTCAAGCAGGATATCTACATCAACGCTGGTGTACCTAACCAACTGGGTTGGGCTTTTGGCATTGGCATCGACCGCATTGCCATGCTTCTCTTCAAGATCCCCGACATTCGCCTCTTCTGGTCAAAAGACAAGCGCTTCCTATCCCAGTTTGAAGGCGTCACCGACAATCTCGACAACCTGAAGCGCTTCGTCCCCTTCTCCAAGTATCCTCCCTGCCCCAAGGACGTGTCCTTCTGGCTTAGCTCCACGACAGCAGCAGGTGGCAACACCAAGGGCACATTCCACGAAAACGACGTTATGGAAATTGTCCGTAACGTGGCGGGTGACGTGGTCGAGGATGTGCGCCTGATCGATGAGTTCACGCATCCCAAGACGGGCCGCAAGAGCATGGCGTATCGCATTGTTTACCGCAGCTTGGAGCGGACTCTGACTAACGATGAGGCCGTCGCTTTCCACGAGGATGTTCGCAAAGCTTTGGTCAAGGAGCTGGGCGTTGAGCTTCGATAGACTGGGTCTGAGCTAGGGTAGCTGAGCTGAAATAAACGTGTGGAGAAGCTGGAGCTTATGGGCCCAGCTCGACATGGCAGCTTGGACCCTTGATGGCCTTGAGCTAGCTGTGAGGCTGTATAAATCTGTAAACTAGTCGCATCTGTATAGTATCCGCTGTATGAATCAATGGAAAAGCCCAATGACCACGGGCTGAGCTCTCCTCTGACGTCGTCAAACTGTACTATCACGAGCCCAGCTGCTGCGCCATAGTAGAATCACGGGCTTCATCTCCATAAGCCAAGCCACGAATCAAGCGTGGTTATTGCAAATTGCAGGATTCATGAATGGCTTTGCTTAAGTGACGTTATTGTTGATCTGAGCCACGTCTGGTCCGCGCTCTGGGTTCCTTGCATGGATGAGCTGAACTGAGCTGCCTCCCGGCGGGGCGGTATTGAGAACAGGGATGAGGCGGGTGGCTTGTGCGCTGTGGCGTTGCTGGTTTCGGAGGGCTTTAGGGATTTGGAGGCCGACGAGTTACTGAATTCCTCGGTGTCGGACAGATGAGAATATCACTAGGTTCTGGTATTGGTATTAGCGTTGAGCCTAGATTCGAGTTCGGGATTTTCGATTGGACCCTGGTCACATCTGCGAGAGATTTCTGATCCGACCACCTAGACTTAGATGAGGAACCTGGGTTAATAAAATGAGGTCCCTAACTAAATCCCATGGATATCCTCACATAACCGTCTTGTTACCTTGATTATAGAACACCACAACATTGATTACCGATCAGTTGACATTTTGAGAGTCACCTCAGACCTCGCCTAAAGTCCTTTACCGTGTCAATGTCTGGACTTCCAGATCGGGAAGGTATGGGAAGAATTTCTGGCTCTAGTTGGTGTTGAGATAACTGCCCGTCTGAATATCCCTGCAAGGATTTCGATTTTGTATGTCACTGGGTAAAGCTTGGCAAAATTGAGGAGTTGTTAGTCTAAAGACATCGATATGTTGGCATATTCTGGACTAATGTTGGCTTGAGGCGCATGGGTTTAGTTGATCCAAGACATTCGTCAAGAACAGCATTGAATCGGATCTCGTGACTAGACAATACGACAAGCTGCCTCTTTCCCCCCGTATCGGAATGTAGGCATTGCAAGAGTTGGCAAAAGTGACGACATTGACGATAGTCTCACCAAGAGTTGGCCAATGCCTCACCCACGAAACGAAGCCCCGCTCGGCATAGTGAGCTCCATATCCCGAGGCCATTCCTTGAATATGGGGTTGGACTAGACTATGCCGTCGGTTTCGGGACGACCCCAGCCTAGTAAAGAGGGCGGAGGTTTACCGCAATCTCGCCAAAAGATATAGCCACAAGGCCAAAGCTGGAGGCAGTACAGACAGAATATTGATACTAGGAGGCGTTCTAGGCTTTGTTGTATGGGCTTAGGCCTTAGGATCACACTTGAGGATCTTATCGTGTTCGGGAGTCTCGGACGAAAGAGGAATGAGCTCGCTCGAAAATTGGGATTCAAATTGTTGTTTCTCCTCTTGCACAGCCCCCTTGGCCTTTGATGTTTTGAGAAGTGTCATCGGGTGTTTAAGAGCTGTGACTGGCTGCACCTGATATGCCGTGGGGGATCCTCGCGTTCAGATAGGGAGTCTTGTTAACAGTTCGATCGATATCTGAGAACATTTAGGTACTGCAAGCTCGTTGCGAACACGACAAGACGCTTCCGAATGGACGTATTCTCTCAGAGTATACTTTGCTCATAGTAAATATTGAGCTTGTGCTGTACGATTTCTTGTAACACCTGTTCATGGCAAAAAGTCTATCGAGGTTGAATGTCCGGGGTCAAAATGCAATACATTGCAGTAGCGCCATGCAGGCTTCCAGGGGGTGGGTGTGTCAAATTCATGGTTGGATCGATTCATGAGCGGTAAAACATTAGATGGCTTGGATGGAGTTTGAAGATGGCATTTCGAGACGTACGATCAGACAAGTCAACCTTTGGTACGAAGGCTGTGATAGATCAACATGACAACTCATCAGTTTCCATAAAACATTATTTTTATCTTGTTTAAGATCAGAGTATGATTCGAGGAATTATAGACTTCCTATTCTAAAAACATACAACATGGAATACCTTGAATGGTAGCCGACTTGGCCAACCAGGTTCTGTTTGATAGTCATGAGTCTCGAGTCCGCAGGACCATCATTAGTCAAGACGGAGCAAGACAAGACAACAACCTTTTCTATGGAGACAAACATGAGTCGAGACGGCGTTGGCATTTCTTAACACAGCCCTCACAAATCTCCTCAACAGAAAAAAAGATACAGGGGCCTTCCTCGTTTTGACTGATCGCAGGAGAAAAAAAAGCTTAACGTTCTGGCCCGGACCAAATGGAATCGCCATCGCCAAAGCCGCCAAGGCCTCACTGGCCCAAAAGAGGCAAAATACTGGGACCTTGCAGTGCACAGCCCCGAAACTCCATGAACAATACCCCCTGTGAGTCCGCTAGCCCTGTTCTGTTCTCTACGTGCCCTGGCCACTGCACAAGAGCGAGCAGCGAGTTCCCCAGCCGCCGAGAGGCTTAGTTGACTTGTCGTCGTGTTCCTGAGGCGGGAGGCGGCGCTTCCATTGGAAAGTGGAAAACCATAGAAATATAATAGCCACCGACCTTCGCACTTTTTGTCTTATTCATTCAACTCAACTCAGCAACACTCAGAAACACTCTAGAGAAACAATATTCCAATACTCGATTCAAACATCAACAGATCGACAGGAACACCCGGCAGATCTTGCACTGTTTACATCTCCATCTCTACCAACATCATCCAGAGCCAGTTATCATAACTGCACTTAAACCTCACCTCACCTCTACATCTAAATCCACAACAACCACATTCAAAATGGAGACCTCACCGCAACACTCCCGATCTTCCTCCTCCGCTTCGCGCCGCTCAAACCTCACTCTCGACCTTTCTAATATCCCACCCATGACCCCGCCTACGCCTCCTTCAAACACCCTCCTCTTCACCAACCTCACCGACCCGGCCATCTTCCTCCCCGAGAACCTCCAGGTCATCCGCGACCTCATCACCCACTCCGCACCCATTCACGCTTTCGCGCCGCTAAAATCATTCCGCCGTATTGTCGTCTCCTTCTTCGACGAGCAGGCTGCTATTGCCGTTCGCCAAGTATGGGATAACGAGGCTATCATGGGTCAGCAGTGCCGTGTCTACTTTGGCATGCCTACACCTGTCGATAAGCGCGATGAGCACCTTGCTCTTCCTGACGCTGGCAAGCTCTTCTTCATCTCGCCACCACCTAGCCCTCCCCATGGCTGGGAGATGCGCCTCGAGGATGCGCCCAACAAGCTGGTCCACGCTGAGGATCTCGCTGATGCGCTTGCTAAGCTGCACCATCGCCCTGGACCTATGGATGAGGACCAAGACTCACCTGTCACTCCTCCCGACTCTGCGCTGCCTGGTCGAACACGCTCGCGCTCCTCTACACTCATCTACAAGCCTGAGGATTCGGCAAGCACCATGCCTGCCGTCATCGTCGACGACATGACGGATGAGCCCGAGGAAGTCAGCCCTGTGGAGCAGTCCAAGCCCATCTTGGCACACACTGCCCGACCTCCTGTCGAGCTCATGCACCATGCTTAAGCTTGTCGCGGTCGAACACTTTCAACCATCTTGTGATTTATTCTGGCGTTATGGGTACGGATAACGGTAACTGGGGATCGGTGATGGCACGATTGAGCGGTCTGTCTACCTAGGTTTACAATGGAGCATTACATCCTCTTCAGCATGTGTTGTAGGAGTTGGTAAAATATGTCTTTTGGGGTTACTATCACGGAAATGGCGGTAAATGTGCCACGCATCGTTGGCTTTTACCTACTGGCGCAACTGTATAAGATAGCTAGTGGCTTAATACCAGTTCTGAAATCAGAATGATACCACACATATTGTTTTCAACCTCGCCCAGATGATTTGACTTATTGACGACCTTTCCCAGCAAGTGATCAAAACACAATACTAATCAGCCCAGACAAGGCTTTGCTGCGCCAAGACGGCCGAGAGTAAATGGCGCGGTATATTCGATACGCCCACGAATCTGACGAGGCTCACCGCCGCAATAGCTCCAAGAATCGTGCCGACTAAGAGCACTGCCCTCCTCGAGATGGTCATACTCTTGGAGAAGTCCGCTGACGTTGTCCTTTCTGCCTCAAGGTCCCTGCGCACGCCTAGTTCAGTGAGCATACCGAGGCGCGGGAGATACTGGAACTCAAAAGTGCTCGATTCACCGAGACCGCCCGCTTTATGATTGTGGATCATGAAATACGCAAAGTCTTTGAATCTCTGTTACACGGCGTCAGCCACAAGGTTCTCGGGTTCGTATTACCGTGGATATAGGGGGGTGAGTGATGAATACGTACTTGTTCTTGTCGCTTCTGCATGTAAGCTGGCATCCAGGGGTAGCTATAGCTTATGAAAAAGAGAACAGTGCATTGCATCCATACGACAAGCCGGGATCGCAAGTCGGGCTTTTCGATACCGAGTGCGCTGGCGAATTCATCGCCGTTGAGTCTGTATGCGTGCGCGGCAAGTACCTCGCGTGGCATATTCAGTGGCGGAGCTCGAGCTTCTGCTGTGAGAATATTGTTCGCGAGGATTTGGGAATTCGCTGATGGAGCCACTTCAGATACTGCTATGGACTCCAACATGGCTTTGGCTTGTTGTGGTGTGGCCATCCAGTCCACAGGCGTTCCAAGCAGATATCCAACATAACGCCATAAAGCGAGATAGTCTCCAGTTTGTTGCTTGGATAAGTATATACCCTGACGGGGAGGAGCCATATAGACAATGGCAGCGGAATACGCTGAAATAGTGGCGATTGTATGTAAGTCGTTGATAGGAACTCCCCATTTCTCCATGTCGAAGTATCCCGGGTTTTGATGCTCAAGTTGCATAAGCCGTCTTCGAACTGAAGCATGTAAGAGGCGCACTCGTACAGAAGAAACATAGCCTCTTCCCCCAGGCTTTATTGCATCGAGATCGTCAACGACCTCCATGAAATGCTGGAGTGTTTCAAGAAGTCGTCGCCTAGTGACATTGATGCCGAAACCACCAGTTCGAGAAAGAGTCTCGACAATTCGATATGCCCCCATTCCTCCCAACAACGACTTGTACATGAGCTTGTGAACCGTTAGTAAATCTGCTTCTTCGCAGAGGTCACGACTTACACCAAAGAGAATCTGTCCACTGAACTGATACACGACCTGTTGCCCACGCTGAATCTGATCCCAGTCAACCCATTCAGGGACCGTAGAGACTTCTTCCCATAATTGACCCAGGATTTCATCGCCATTAGCATGTTTCTTGAGTAATTCGTAAATGTCTCTCTGGCCCGGGCCAGAACCATGAGGACACTTCCATCCCTTTGTCGTTGGTGGGGAGATAAGGTCTAGCCGATCGAGAGCATCTGTGGCCAACTTGTCGTATGAATAAAGGTAGTGGTCAAGTTCCTCGGTAGTCTTATGTCCGGAAGTCCATTTGAATCTATGGCCACCGATGATTCTGCTGTCTTTGAAGTACGATGGGTAGCGGTAGTCCATGGTTAGATGTGTCATGGATCATAAACAAAGTCTGGAGTAGATTTTCATAAACCAAGAGTCAAGAATATACTTGATTCGATTATAAGTTACGAGATGAAGTTGTTGTTGAGTCTCAATCCTTAACGAAATTGAGCTTTTGATTTGATGCACCACGGCTCATGATGCTTCGAAAGGCCTCTACGGTACTCCTGCACAGGCTGCGGTGGTGCCAGCGCGGATATATAGCATTAAAACACCATTGGAATTCTTCCATGACGAGGACGATATACCGAATAGCAGCACATGATGAGGGATAGTTTCTGCCACATCAACCTACACTCCATCTCAGATTGAACATAGGGGCACTAAGGATGATCGGCTCGGCTTTTACTCCAACGAACATGTCGTTGGCACGGTAGAGAGAACAAAGAAGCCCAATGATATGCAGAAAACAAGCAAAATGGGTAAAATGGGAGTGGGGAACAACACATGCACATACATGCCTTAGCCAAGACGAGTCTGTGATGGTTCAGAGAACATGCTAGCTTCACTTCACCCAGAAGAAGCTCCGGCCCCCGTCATATTCCATCGTTGTTGATGAGAGATGTCTCATAATGACATTGCGTTGACATTAGCAGTCATAGCTACTTCAGCAAAGTCAAGGCTTCATCAAGTCTGAAGTGGGCACAAGACTAACAAAGTTGATAATGAAGCCTAGTTCCTGGGCGTTCGGTGCACGACCAAAGACACTAGAGGCTCGCCTCTTTGTCATCCCGTTACTTAGCAAGCTAGACAGATTCTTGTGTAGCCAATGGCAAATGCCATTGATATACTCGAGGAAGTGTAATGGTTGAATGCACGGATGGGGCATGTTTGACAGCGTGGCTCGAGCAACGGTTTCTATTATCCGTCACTTGTATCGACACGAGCAAACGAAAGTATCTCGACTTGTAAGATGCATACAACAACGCATCATAAAGTGAGGAGGAGTGACTCCGAAGATGAAGCGGCGAGACTTTATGCAGCACACCAATACCACGAATGGAGGATGGTTTCCTTTTTAGCGTCCCTGGAATGGGAATTCGAGTCGTGAGGGGGGATCAATGACAACGACATCACAATGGTAGTTTGGGTAGTATTGCAGAATAGTTAGGATGCATGTGATACACCACTGGGTTCATCTATAAACCCGATACTGAAGACTATGGGATTTCGAAGGAAATGAAGGAAGATCTGCAATGTATCATATGACTTATAGCTGAGAGAAAGCAATGAGATGGCAGCCTTGAGCATCATATCAAGTAGCCATGGAAAAGCAGGACAGTAAGGTATGTGCCATTTCAATTTATCGCTAGAAAAGACTAATGCGCTCCTTGGTACAGAGAAATATCTGGACTCACATGATGCCTCCTATAAACAATGTTGATGCAGCATTACAATGACGCTTGGAGTGTAAGTGGGACACTTCATTCTCTTGCTGGTGTGGTAGATCCGAATCACACTGTTTTCGATCATTAGTGATCATGAGTTGAGTACCGAAAAGGTTCTTAGATGATATATCCATAATATCTGAACTCCAATGCCAACATTGTTAACGTATCCTGAAATCATGAAACAATCATGTTTGCAAGAGAGAGGTTTGGAGACGCGGACCTACGTAAATCCGTCACACCAAATCGAGTCAAGCCCGCAATCTTCGGCCCCACTTCCGGACCCTTGCTCCCATCATGAAGCCTCTTTCCGTTGACCAAATTTGGTTCACATTTTCTTGTCACTCTTGGGATCGCACTGGCCGATCCAACTTATCATGATGAGCTGCACATGTCGAGCCACGCCCCTGAAAATATTCGTACAAGGCCTATCTCAAGTTCACAAAGTCGACGCATCACCTTCTCTTCTCCGTCTGCCGATTCGCACTCGACCAGCGTTGTACCAGAATAATTTTGCCTTGGCGCGACAGGCCCGATCTTTGCATTTTTCAAAAGCTCTGCAAGATGCTTCCGGAGAAGCCGCAAGAGATGATGACCCTTTCTCTCACATTCGGTCGGAAGATGAAAACCGGGCTGTGAAAAACGACGACACTTTCGCCACAGATGAAAGTCCAGAGTCAATACCATGGAAAGCACAACCAGGCACCAATAACGAGGCTCAAAAGCCTCGGAGGAGGAGGAGAGAAGAGCCAGAAGATTTTACGACCTTAAATTACCGCCGAAACCAGAGCGTGAGACAGCAACTAGAAGACGATAACGAGGCGAACGAGTACAACGGCAATCCCAATCGACGAATGAAGGGTCCTTCTTCGTTACAACCACAACCAAAAGAGAGTTACTGGAAAATCCAAAAAGCGGCTCTGAAGGAGAAATTTCCAGAAGGCTGGCGTCCTCGAAAGCGTCTTTCTCCCGATGCTCTGGCTGGTATCCGGGCTCTCAACGCCCAGTTTCCCGATGTCTACACCACCGAAGCCCTGTCGAACAAATTCGAAGTATCACCCGAGGCTATCCGTCGTATTCTGAGGAGCAAGTGGCAGGCTAATCCTGAGGAGGAGGAGAAGCGGAATGCGCGATGGCTGCGCCGTGGAAAGGATGTCTGGGAGCAGAAGGCTGCGCTGGGTATTAAGCCGCCGCAGAAGTGGCGACGTGAGGGTATCACACGAGATCCTAGCTACCATGATTGGAAGAAAGAGGCGGTTGAGCGAAACCGTGTGAGAGAGGAGCGGGACGACATGGAGATTAGGGGTGATTATACCCCTCGTCCACGTACTTATACTGCTCGGTCTCGCATTCCTCGAACTGGCGAGTATACTCCACGGTCAGTTTCTCGAACTGGACGAGGAAGATCTTAAAAAATGGCGAATGCACGATGTCATGATGAGGGCTTTGCATATAGACCGGCGCTGGTGCATTGTACTATAGTTGTAAACTTACTCTACTATTGAAATGAATTATGCATGTTGGAAGTGCATATCATGACGCAGCCTTGCAGGGTATTGGGTAGAAGAAATTCAGGTGCATAAACAATCAGTATAAATCTGATCATATAAACAACGTATCAGGAGTGTTTCTACCAATGAACTGGTTCATCACACTTTGCTGAATTTGCTCCTTGTCAATGGAAGTTCTCGTTTAAGAGCCTCTGCGACGTGGGCTCATGGTGACAGGGGTAATTGTGTTTTGTAGCAAGCTGGGCGCTTAAGTTAGAGATGGGTTTCACTGCCACATGCTAACGTTTATCGAGCCTTGGCTAACTTGACCACTTTCTGGCCTTTTCGTTTCTCTCATAAATGGTTCATCTTGAACTCTGCACTCATTCAATTCTTTCGCAGATATACAATACTCACCTAAAATTTACTTGTGTATCACCCTCATCACCCATACATCATGCCCACACAATACCCCCGGCCCCCGCAGCGAGAGTCGTGGTTTGCGCCACTCTCTATTGACCTCTTCCTTAAGGTCCTCAACACAACACTTCTTCACCCCTTCGTCTGCTGGATCATACCGCTATGCTTCCGTGCGCAGACAGTGAAATGGGAAGCGCCGCCTATGGTAGCCTCTATTGCGTGGGCTACCATTGTGACACTATTCTGGATGGCCAACGTGGTCAACCAGCGCATTGCTCACGGAATCCCGCGTGAGGTTGACCTCAGCGAGGAGGTCATTGTCATTACTGGAGGTGCAAGTGGGATGGGTCTGCTCGTTGCTGAGGTTTATGGCATGCGCGGCGCGACAGTGGCTGTGCTGGATGTGAACGAGATGGAGAATACTGAGGCGAGAGGCGTCACGTATTACAAGTGTGATGTTGGCGACAAGGGTCAGGTTGCAAAGGTTGCGCTTGAGATTGAGAAGGATGTAAGTTTTCGTGTCTCTGAGACCATGAGATTCGTTACTAATGAAATACCAGCTCGGCACACCAACTGTGCTCATCAACAACGCGGCTATTGTTATTGGGAAGACTCTCTTGGATCTGTCGCTAGATGAGATTGACAAGAGTCTTACGACTAACCTTCTCGGACCATTCTACTGCCTCAAGACTTTCCTACCTGCCATCATTCGCGGTGGAAGGGGCGGTACCATCGTCAACGTCTCCTCTGTCATTGGTACGGTTGGTGCCGCACAGCTGACCGACTACGCTGCTGCAAAGGCCGGTCTCACAGCCATGCACCGCTCTCTGACAGCCGAACTACGTGAGAGCCATCCCGAGATCCGAACAGTGTTGGTTACACCTGGTCAAGTGAGCACGCCGCTCTTCTACGGGGTCCAGACACCCAACTCTTTCATCGCGCCGGTTGTTGAGCCCGTGGATGTTGCCAAGGAGATTGTAGCTGCCATTGATAGTGGGAAGGGTGCTACAGTTGCTATGCCACTATACGCCCGTTGGGTTGACTGGCTTAACGTGTTGCCTGTAGGAGTGCAAACTATTGTGCGATGGGCAGCGGGTGTGGACCGTGGGATGAAGACGTTTGTGGGGAGAGAGGGACAAAAGCTTGAGTGAACTTGACGCTGGCGTCAGTTTTGATGAATACGAAGAGTGTAAAGTTTGGACGGGATTAAAAATAATAATGTGAAATTAGATGATGTACGTTTATTGGAGCATTAATATAGAGTCAGCACAAGCGGTGACCTGGGGAAGTGATCCTGAGGAACCTTTTGGCTGAATGAGAATACGGTATTCAACTCATGGAGTTCTAGGAATAGCCAATGGAAAATATGCCGATTCTATCTGACAGGCTTCTTGACTCTTGTCAAGTGTGTCGGAAGAGTACCGATCCATAATATCTCTTATAGCCAAACCATTCAGTCGAGCCTGTTATAGCCTACCAGTTAACTTGCGTGACAATCTAAGCGAAAACAACTTCTAAGCTTACAAATGCATGAAACATGCAATACGCCTTGAGGGAGAGCGAAATCCTATAGGATGAGAAAGGGGATCGAGCGATTGACCCCTGGCTAACCGGGCTTTAGACAGTTTAATACCGTTGACAGCTCTGGATAGGTCGGGTTGAGCGGCCGGGTGTAGAGAACCGCAGCGCATCATGAGCTGGAAAGATGGAAGAGGCCTTGTGCAGCTCTGCGGGCGCTATTTAGGTTGTTGTACGGCCGTTGGCCACATGGGATTGTTTGTCGCTTGGATACACCGGTAAAGGCTAGGAATGGTCCATCATGCTCCATACGGGGCGAGACTGTTGCCTCTACTTATTGTTGAGTCTGAGGAGTTGTTGAGAAGAGAGTAGACGGTACAATATAGCATGACTGTATGACACAGGAATGAATGTTTCAGCCCTGGTTCTCCTTCGGTGACGGAAATGACATTGCGCCCGTTAGTACGGAAGAAGCGAGGCCGGGTGAGGTTTCATGGAATGACCCGAGAGTGTGGAAAGTTTGCAAGCCTAATGAAGTCTCTTTCTGCGTGTGCTGTCTTTGTAAGTGATGAGAAGAGGCTGGTATTGGTGTACTGCAGGTGTAGGTAGGTAGGTTGGTTGTCAGTCAGTGGTGGTGGGGATATAGACCCTGCTTGGCGGGGAAGAACACCTAAACGTCATGTCACTTGAGCCTTGCCTACGCCCGCAGAAGCTGCACCTCGATCCGTTGACGGGTGGATCGATTCTGAAGTATTTTCAGCAGGTATACACTCGAGATGTGAATCGATCAAGTGCCATTATGTCTGATATTATATGTAGATATTGTTTGAAATGTTAGTCTATCAACGTTGGATCCGATATTGGAACATGAGCACGCGACAATTAAACATTGGATCAAAGCCCCTGCTTCCCTTGGCTGCAAGATTAATTACTAACTACAAACTACTTATAAATCGAATCGGGACCGACGACCCGTTGTGCTGTAATACGCCCGCTGGTTCCGTTACTCTGCGACATAAAACGCCCGCTACGACTAGACTCAGGAGTTACAGAGTTGGATAATCTTTGAAAGACGTTCATGATCATCTGAAATCAGACAATCGTGTAGTCACATAGCAAGCCACTACATCATAGCACAGCACACTCTGTAATGCTGCTGCAATTTGACAAGATGATTTGCCCTATTTCAACTCGATCTTCAAAGTGTCACCCAAGTCTCCAGGGACTAAAAAAAGGTGCTGCACTTTACTTTAGAGGCTAGACCTACCTTATCTGACCCTTCTCCACCAATCCAATCACGCCGCCATCACATTCTGCGCCCAGCCCAGGCCAGCCCGCAGCCACGGAGCGGGCAATCCCACTTTGGCTGCAGAGATAAGCCAAGCCAGTCCAATCCGTCCTCCATTTTCTCCCACGCCCTTTTCCCACGTTCATTGCAACTACAACTCCAGCTTGAAATCCAATTGCAACTCACTTGTCACTCAGTTCATCCTACGGACTTTGTTCTGGACCTAGCCATGTCCATGCGTGTCCGTGTCACGCCTTGAACCATGAGGCGAACCCTGATACTTATCCCTTATCCCTGAACATCACATACAGTACACAACTCAACTCAACTGAATCATACATACTTTCATATGAAACCACTCAGGTCCCCTGTTCCCAACCTGTCAACTGTCTGTCTGTCAACTGCAACTATAACTTACTGCAACTACTACTGCCACTGCTACCGTCTCGCCGAGTATTCTGACCTATCAAACACTCATATTGCTTAAACTCAACCGTCAACCTAGGTAGTCGCCGAGACATACACTTTAGTGCCTGTCACCTTATGAGAGACTCAATCAACTGCTATATAATCGGCCCCCAACTTCTCCATCGACAACTACAGATGCAGGTCTAAACCACAACTATCGCACCGCAAGGGGTCTTCTCCTACCTTTCATCTCATCAAGTGAGCCGATTCGACAATGGGACAGTGGTGGGTTGATTCTCGCATTGAAGCTACCGTTACCCGGTCCTATGTCGCCAGCCAGCTCCTCCCGGATGAGATTGAGCGCCTAGATCGTCCAGTCGCCTTTGGCGGCGAGGACTTGACAGAGCGCACATACTGGGAGAGCATTCGAAATGATGCACCTCGTTTATTCCTCATTCTCGTCGACCTTGGTGTGCCTGATCAGATCTTCGGAGTTGTCGACGATGGCTGGGATGACGCTGAGCTACCGATTGCCCTCGAAGACGTGGATCGCCTCTTGTTAACAGCAACTCGTGATGAGAAAGTCGAAAAGAAGTTTTACCAGCGCCAGTTTCATTACCTTCTCAAACCCTTGCAGCGAGGGAACCATGTGGCGTATAAGGACAACGAAGTAGTACCTCTAGACGTGGTCGAAAAGCTTTCCCTGCCAACGCACAAGTCGCACGGAAACGACAAGGTCAGACTTCCAAATATTCCAGGGGAAGTCTTTTATCGACGACGATATGTGCTGGGTAATGGACCTGGAGCTATGCCCGTGCAAGACTTTCTCGATGCTGTCCACGGGATCAAGGGTCTGCAGAACGAGCACATGATCTCGTATTGGGCGTCGTATACGCAGCATGGATATGGATACGTTTTGTTTACGCCAGCAGGTGACTTTACTCTCAAGTCATTCCTGGCGACGACACCATCACAGTTCAAGCATCTTGCTAAAGCTCGTCGGAGGGAGCTTGTCATGAACTGGATCTTGTGTCTCGTCGACACACTCTGTGACTTCCATGGGAAGAATCAATCGCATGGATACATCAAACCTTCGACCATCTTCTTTACCAACCAAAACCACGTCTTTTACTCCGACTCGACACGACTCACGCCCGATAACGTGATTCTTCACACCGATAAATCGTCGTTTGATCGCGAACGGTACGACTATGCTGCACCAGAACTGTGGTCTCGACCTGCAGGGGCGACGAGCCCGACCGGCAGATTCCCATCCGATGAACATTTCGGAATGGTGCAAACATACGATCCGAGCGGCTCACCAACGGCGATGTTCATCGCACCAAATCCTCAGCTGAGCGGACAGCAAGCCGACATCTTCTCAGTAGGCTGCATCATTTTGGAGCTTTTATCATTCTTAGTCAAACGGACGACGAGCAAGTTTGCGACCTTTCGATCAGCGAAGCACAAGACGGCCGGTCGAGGCGGTGCAGTGTTGGATACGTCTTTTCACAAGAACCTAGGACAGGTGGAAGCATGGATGTCAGGTCTTGCCAAAGATGCATCTCGAAAGTCATCATCGAGCAAAGATGGCGCGAATATTCTCAAAGGTGTAACCCCCATGCTCCACGTTGTGACGGGTATGCTGGCGATGAATCCATACGACCGGCCTCCGGCGATCGAAGTGCAACAGCGCATTTATCAGATTCTGACCGAAGTCTGCGACATTTCAGAACCGCACTGCGTACATCAGTATGCGCACGATCTCGAATCCTCATTCGGAGGGCTGCAGATTCAGACTGTTGGTGATGGCATGATGGGCGTCAGTCCGCCAGGGGGGTCCAACACCACCTATGGTACACCACGGACGTACGAACACAGCCGAAATGGCAGCAGTGGAGGATATTCACAAGTAAGCCGCACGACGGGAAGCAGCGAAACCGACATGGATGCTATACACAGCGTAGGGTCAGTTGGTCTTCAACAGATACGAACACAGGGTTCCTGGCCTCGCAATATCGCGTACACACAGCACACGGGCGTAGCGCAATACCCCGTGGGCCAATGGGACACTACATGAAAGCATGTGATGTTCTGCTGGGATGATGACTTTGATGAGCTTGTGGGGACCGAATCCTTTTTATTAGGATTGAGGAGATGAAACGAGATGGCATTTATTACCTTCTGTTTACATCGCGTATGCGGTCAGCAAATTTGTGCTTCATTTATCTGAGGCAGGGCTGATTTTACGGCATATGAGGCTGACTTATACCAACATTGAATTTATTTGCCGGAGCAGGTGGGAATGGAAAAAGAAATTATCATTATCAACTTTGGATGAAACGAGGTTGGATGGTGATTGTTGATATAGGATTAGGATTGGTCATGTGGAATTATGCACGATTTACGATTGAATGAGACTTCAATTTCAAATTTATCATATCATGAGCTAACTTGACTTACGTTGACATTGATTGACTGGTATGCACGCATGGTATTTATGCAGGGTTTAGCTTCGCTTCAGCTCAAAGGGTCCTGTCTGCCTCACGTTGGTTGTATGTGTGTTTGAGACAAGCGTGGAAATGAAACACTTGAAGGATTCGAGACTTTTGATGTCTTGGCTAATACGAAAACATCAACGCAGCAGTAGGAAACAACGCATGATATTTTCATAATTGCGATATTCTTCACAATTTTCGAGCCTTGCCGAGTTAAGCATCATGCAGGGCCGTTTCAAGACATGGATGGATAGGATGAACCCTTGACAAGACGTATGTTTACATGTGCCAAGAATATCCTGCAAGCTGTGACTTTGACAGTTTTTTAATGATACAGATGCAGATAAAGATCAACCGTATTAAAACGTTTATCCTCCGATAGATCGTTACATATTCATCAGACACAAACTCAGTCAGGATGCCCTGGTCTGCAAGTTACGGGGCATCCAATCGGCGCAATAGTGGGACCGTGTTGCAATTTTTCGACGCGTACGTCATGAGCTATGGGAATGTGGGGGATTAGACTGGTCTGGATGGAAGAGGAGCAGAGAAGAAACAGAAGAAACCTTGAGGGGAGAGAGGAGAGAGAGGACACGCGGCTATCGCGCAGTCATAGGACAGAGAGAGAGGGAGAGGGCGACAAAGTTACAGAGAGGGTCAATATGAGGGGTTTTGTTTATGTTGATGGCTCCCTCTTGTTTCTTTGGCTTGGTTTGACAGCTGGAGATCAGCCTCGTCTCTTGATTTGGACCAGTGGGCAGCAGTAGTTCAGGGGCATTGTGGCAAAACAAGTGCTCTGTGTGTAGTGCCATGAGTCGTTAAACCTCCTGAGGCTTTACCTACCCGAGGGACTTCCTCCACAGGCCACAATCTGTATACCCGCGATAACACAGAAATGAGACTTGTTCTGCTTGATCAAGAAATGCCCGGACGTTGAATGTGTCGTCAGTATGCAACTCAGCGTTACATTGGCACAATCCCAGCCCTGCTCGATCCCCTGCTCTGCAAGCTGTAGAACTTCTTCCTCTTCCATCCCATGCAAGGCTGCCCTCCCAACGAAAGAAAGGATCTGACTCAACTTCAGTAGCACGTCCCACTAAAAAGAAAGCACTAGCACAAGGCTTGCTTGCTTGCCTTTGTCTTTCTAGCGCCGTTAAAGGGTTTTCTTGGTACAAAATCAGGAAAAGAAAGGAAGAAAATTCAAGAGTGTCCAATCGGTTGAAACTGTTTTATCGGGATACCAAACTAAAAAGGGCGATGGGAGGATCCACTTGAGCTTTAGCTCAGAGGCTGCATATGTATGCAAACTTGCGTAGCTCGAATCAAGGAAAGGGATGCGGATAAAAATGGTGCAGAGCAGTGTGCAAGGGGGTCGATCCAATATTGATTGACAGTAATGAATGAAGATGAGGATAAGGATCAACCAACATCGATCATAAATCTACTGTACCTAGTCTAATCCACTTCTTTATTAAAACAAGGAGAGCAAGCGAAAAAGCTTGAACTACTTTAATATCTTACTCTCCCTTACCCTTCCCCAGTCAGTTCGATCAATTGATTATTCGTTCCTCGCATTATCCTCCTTTTCGTCATCATCAACAAATTGACTTCTCCTTGAAGCTTATCAGGGAGCTCTTTTCGACATCTCCAATCAGCTCACTCCTGATTAAAAAAAAAGGCCTCTAAGCAGGACCCAAATCACCCCCCACGATCGGAACGCCCACACATACACACACACTCCTCAGGTCACCACACCTCTTTCTAAGCCGTCGTACGCGTGGCCGGCCCGTCCAATCGTTTTCTCTGCAGCTTCCTTTACGGTTTTACGGTTATTCAGCTCGGGCTGCGCGCACCAGCGAGGCTGTCAGGAGGGAAAACCCACCTGCTTTGAAGAAGGACTTTTGAATCGGGGGCCTCGTCATCTTTCGTTACAAACAACCTTCGTTACAGTTTTTGGCTTTTGTCGAAAGGGACAGGAAACCTTGGAAGGAAGGGAGACAGAAAAGGTTAAGCCTCGTCGATCGATCGTTTGCGACACAAAGCTCTCTTGTCTTGGGATCACTATCTTTATACTACGCCCTATCCGTTCGATCTTTTTCTCTGGAAATCTTCTGGTATTGTTATATCGGCCCACGATGCGCTCGCCAATCTCGCTCCTCATCTTGCTCTGCGCATTCATGGCTTTAGCATGTGCTACTGAAGTTCACATCTCGAATAACAGAGCTCCCACATCTCAATTCGCGACACATGGTGAGATACTCCAATCGCGCGTTCTTTAAGCTTAAAAGACTGACATCGTTAAGGTGTTGCTTCCCAATTACCTTCCCGCGACCGAGCCATTCACGCCCAAGACCGCGCGCGACAAATCGCCTTATCGCAAATGATCGGCTCAAGCGCAAAAATATCCATCGTCGAGACCGCGTCTCTCAATGTCAAGGCCTTTGCTCATGGCGGCATGAGCTTCCTCTTCGGTCTGGCATCTTCTTCCAACGACGTACTCGATTACATCAACAACGGCACGAACTCGGTATTTTCACGATCCGTTACCAGCGAAGAAGGCAGTGGAGCTTCAGGGCGGAAGCACGTTGCTTATACCAGCATCGCCCTGGTTCTCGTCATGCTCTTCTTTGCTGTGTGGATGTGAAAAACAAACTGCACAGAGATATAGCATTTACTCTTTTTCGCGCGCATATCATGATACCCCTACCGGATTTGGCGTTTTATCTGGGTCGGCTTTTTTGCATTTATTATTTACTCATTATTTACTTTCTTGCACTTCGGTGTTGCTCCCCTGAGTGGATGCTGGTTCATGGTTTGGAGATACATTCCTTGGTGGAGCTGGGCAGCTGTGCTGCATCCGGAAGAGAGTGTTGGTTGAATGGATGGATGGATGGTTGAATGATTATGGTTTGATAACTAATGATGGCTACGTAATGACGTGTTTGGAATATGATGTACATCACATCAAGGGTTGGGTTGGGCATATGCCGGGGAGACAGACAACTTCTGACATCTAGTCAGGATGCCAAAATAAACTGGTCTAAAGGCCCACCAAGATATGCTAAACTTACCTAGGTCTTTTCATCACTTAAGTAGAGGTCCTGGGTTTTCATGCCTCCCCTAGGCATATTCCAAGGAATACAGATAGAGTACATGGGAGGAAATCAAGCACAGTGTTGCAGTCAGTTTCTTGGCGTTTTGATAGAGCTTCAACATTAGGGTCTAATCAAATAACAGATATTGAGCTTCGACTTCCTCCACTGCAAACATGTAGGATTGGCTAATTAATGATTGCGACGCACTCGACTTAGGGCAGTCATGTTCTTCTCCAACAACCTCGTTGACCCGGAACTTGGTGGTGGGGGGAAAACGTCTATGCCAAGCAAGATGTCCGCTGTTTCGTGGAGCTGAGAATACCTGGTCTAAAGCGGGTTAGTCAGTTCCGCTTGTGTTTGAGGACGGAAGTGAAACGGACCGTTCCTGACCCATGTCCATCGATTGTGAAGCCCCCGAAGACAAAGACAACTACAATTGCGGTGGCAATGCCGACGGCCACGGTGCCGGAGATAATATACATGATGATGACGCCACCGCGCCCTCGGCGATGGCTGCGATGCCGATGCCTTGGTGGAGGTGGAGGTGGTGGTGGTGGAGGTGGTGGAGTAGGTACGAACATGATGAGGAACGCGGAATAGACTTGATGGGGATGTCGTCAGGTTATACAGAGTGTGTTGTAGTAAGGTATAGTAGTTTCAAATGTGAGTTCCAAGTCTGGGTGATTGAACGAAAACGATGATGGAGTTGTCTAAGTCAACCATTGCTCCTCTCGCTGAGGTGAATAAACAAAAGCCCATGTCATCTCTTTCCTCCAAGTCAAGAAAAAAACCAACAACCTTCAGCTCTGGGTAGGTAGCCCTTAACACCATATGATTTCCTCAAGCAGGTGCAGAGTTTGGGTGGACTACCTTCCATAACCAGTTGACTATCTTCTAGCATGAGGTAGGTAGACCCGGAACTATTTGCGAGGTATGGACCCGGAATCATTCTGATCACAGGGCTTTCCAACCGTTGACGAGGAAGGCAATATTTTTATCGACGCTACTTTATAGGTACATCAAGATGGCTACGTGATTCCTTAGCTAAGTACCTTATATAATCTGCTTTAACTTGTTATTTCATGATTACTTATCACAATGACGAAGAACGAGCAACGCCGAATGCAAAGTAAAATTAACAAGAAGTAAAAGTTGGCCTATAGGGAAAGTCCGTCATCATAGATAGCTAGAACTTCTCCACGGTTTCTTTGCTTGTTCGAAGCAACTTCTTGCTTCCTACTCCAGGATGTTATCATCCCTCCATATGGCAACAACTATAACTCCCCAACTTGAAATGGTAAACTAGCATCAGAAGAAACCGTAGAACTCAGAGGTTGCGAGAGACACTGTATAGACAACTGTCCTCTGCCCCAACGATTCAGAGCCGGCTACACTTCTCTATCACCTCCGGACCGTTATAGACTCCATCATTTGTTGAGTTGCCTGTCAATAACTACTGCCTTTCGCTGTATATCACATACAAAGTATTCCACCCACCACCATCGACCTAGGTGGTATGAAGAAACCCCTGAGAATATGGCTATGGACGAATGAGAGAAGATGAATCAGTGCTGCTTCGCCATCGCCATCAATTATGACTCGGCCAAGAGTAAACTTACCAGCTACAAAGTAGCACCAAAAAGATAATTCGCTGTCTGAAATAACGCCACTTTATTCTATTCGACATCTACAATAGAGACGCTGGTCCATCTGCACCTGACTTCCACACCCACGACTACGGCTACCAGCACTACTTCCTGGGATATTTTCTGTCCCTTCTTTTGAAGTGAAGTACCTGCGAGAGAGATCACGAGAGAGGTCCTGACACTTCTGTTTCTTAGTGCTCCGAACTTGATGTTCAGAGGCATGGAAATTACAATACTCCTGAACATAACCACAGTTACCTCTAGTTCCAAGCTCTCGAATAAAGAAGGCGGTTTTCGGTCTTTTTGTTTATGCTCTGGTCAATAGACTGTCCAATTAAGGAAGCTTAAGATAACCTTAAAAGACACATGCTTTTCTGTCGCTTGAAGATTCCTGAGGAAATGCAAGACCAGAAATGATTGGCATAAGCCGGATATACCATGCTGGATGTCCTATACGTAGTACAATGAGCAAGACAGTGGAGGGCTACTCGTTGTGAGTTTTCCACTTCTACTCGCATTCAAACTTGGAGGTAAAGCTGCAACAGGTTTTACCTAACGCAGATCTTTGACAAAGCTCCTCTAACAAGTATGAAGTACTGCGCTCGAATGAATTAACTCTCTCGTTACTCCTCCTATCTTGCTTCGGTACACCTTGCCTTGAAGGATGAGCATCGTAAAGGACCTGGAAGAGCATGTCCAGAATAGGCCAAGATGAATATGTTGGTATCTCAGGATGGGGGCATCACAAGTTCATGAAAACCACCCTCAACTTTATGATGATATGGATTACCTATGCTCCCTGAGAATAAACCCTGAGGCTTGGCACATGTTTCTTGTGAAATCAACCTTTTGCCCGTAGAGTTTTACTGAAAAGAATAGCAACGATGGGAACTCGAGCCGTTAACTTTGCGAATACACAGGACTTCAGCTGGCATATTCCTACTGCCAATGAGAAAGGAACTGAGGAACTCTACAGCTATGGCGGTATTGTCCAGGATCCAATGGCCATAGAAGATGATAAGCCTGACATCACTAACACGGACAAGTAATGGCCAATCACGTCTCTTGTATTCAATTTAAGAACGCAATTTTCAACAAAGCTTTTCCCTAGAGAGCTTTGTTCTTTTTGTGACCAATGAAACCTTCGAATGCCAATCCCCAGCCATTGTCTGCATCAATCTAAATCGGCGCTGGTAATGGCCGATCCCCGCCTTCCCATGTCAAAAAATCTTCAGTCGAAGCAAGTACTGGCCAACTTTTGACGGACCTGCCAGAAAAACATAATTTCTTAATCCAAGAACGCTATAATTAAACAAACTCACAAGCCTTCAGTGATTCAGAAGCACGCCAACTTGAATCTTCCCCTCATTGCATACGTATACCACCGAGGTTCTTCTGTTTTGAGGTGACTTCTTCGAGTTTTGCCGCCCCAGTTTTCTTCTGTGTATCGATAGTAGATTTCATAGGGCCGTTTTGGAGGGCAAAAACTTCCAACTATCATCATCCGCCGTATCGACGACTACGCCGCCGCGCCGAACAGCACCACGCCTCGAGCCTATCTCTGAGAGATACTCTGAAACTATCCTTGGACACTGCTTTCACTGCTTATGCTTTAGTGAAGTCGAAATAATGGCTGAGCCTGGCCAGCCGGAGCTCAACGCGGGAATGTCCCCGACGGGTGCGTACATGTCCCGCTGCTCCCCGGCAGATATTTGTCGCGATATGCGAACCTTGCTCAATGCTGACTGTAGTGACTCTAGGGATTAAGAAAGAGCCCACTAATGAAGCTGACATTCTCGAGGGCCTCGGCCTTGACCTCGATTCCATCATGCAAGCTGCGACTAAACGACCATTCGAAGACGAGTCTAACGGCGACGACCCATCTAAGAGGGTTAAGACTGAAGCCGAACCTCCCTCTGAGAATGCACTGGATCTACCTCAAGGTGCTGAAGAAGAACTCGAAGATGGCCTTGCGCTTCTCGTACAGAATGCGCTCAGCAATGTCAGCGACTTCGTCTTCGGTACCTCGAACGATCCCATGGAGATTGATGGCATTACCGACCATAACCTACCTCCGCCGCCGCCTCCTCCCTCACCTCCTTCAGTCTCGTTCTTCTCAGACCCTCAGAAGTATTTGCGCAAAGCCAGTCGACATGCGCTTGGCAACTTGGTAGGTGGCGCGACTTGAGAGATACCACAGCGCTTACATGGGTGGGATAGGCACTTTCTGTCCTCCTCTTATTCTCGCAATCATTTGACGACTCGATAAAACCTATCCAAGATACCGATTCACAACACGCCAAGTCATTTCGCGACCTACAAGCTTCTTTTGCGCAGATCAAGCAAATATATTCTTCGGGGCCCATTCTATCAGCCGACGATCCAGACCTCCATGACCACGAATCCCGTACGATCCTCGATCTAGCGAACCTTGCTCAATTCGGTATCTGGCTATTACAAACCACGCCATCCTATTCCGAAGCTCATCAGCACTTCCATGCGATCTTCAGAGGCCAAGTCTCAGACCTCGGTTCCGATGCGCTCGATCTATACCTTTCCCTTAAAACCCAGGTAGCCATCGATGCGCTTGCTGCAAAAACCCAGGAGCAATCCAAGGAGCAAGTTTTGGAAGAGGCACTAATCAATGGCATGGAAGAAAAGCTACGGGGGCTTCATAACGGGTTCGATCTTACGCCTGCCGATTCTGAGTTCATCACTTCCGTCCGATCGAGGAAAACGTCTCTTGAGGGTGAAGCTTCTACCGAATCTGGTGAGTGATTTGTCGGCAACGAAGGAGAGCTTCTTACTCACCAGTACCAGCTGTTTTGAGAGAAAAGTATAAGGTCGACGATTTATTGCGCCAAGTCTCGACATGTGTAAAGACACGCCTTGCATTGATGTCGGACCTGGGATCTAGACTAGGCCACCCTATGCGATCTAGCGAAGAGACTGCAGTTGACCTCTTGGGCGATACGACCGGCGATCCGAACCTCGACTTGGATGATCTCTCATCCTTCTTTGAGAAGACAGCTTCTGGGCTTGTTCAAGATGCTTTGGCTGGATTGACTGAAGATACTACTACCACCCCTGCCGAGGCAAATCCTCAACCTGAGCAAACACCCACTGTCACCGAAACAATCGAACCGCCACCAGCGGTCGAGCCTACCAAGAGCCCCGAGAAGGAGCCTACCTTGACTCCTCAGACAAACGGCAAGGTGGAATGCACTCAACAAGATTACAAGGAGCTAGAGGCGCTGGTAGCCCAAAGCACAGATCATTATGTCAAGACTACACTACATGGATTGTCGCCGGTACCCTATCAGCCTACAGTTCCAACAAGCACGAGTGAGTTAGGTCTCAAAAGAGGACAAGAATCATTAGCTAATGTGAACGCAGCCCAAACATACCTAAATCAGCTCCAACAACAACAGGCCCAAAACCCGTACTATGCATCATATACGCAGAGTATCCCTGAGCCACAACCACCACCTCAAGAACCGGGTCATCAGCTGCCACCACATCAAACCTGCTCCAGTGCATTATTATACGACAAGGCTCGTCAAGCAGCCCTCTCTAAAAACGCGTCTCATACAAGAAGAGAAGGCATCCACTCAACACGTCGGCCGTGGACTCAGGACGAAGAGAAGGCTCTAATGGCAGGCTTGGACTTGGTCAAAGGGCCCCACTGGAGTCAGATACTCACCCTGTTTGGGGCCCAGGGCACAGTATCAGATATACTGAAAGATCGAACACAAGTTCAGCTCAAGGACAAGGCCCGTAACCTCAAGTTGTTCTTCCTCAAGACCAACTCCGAGATGCCATATTATCTCCAGGCAGTCACTGGAGAGCTCAAGACACGAGCTCCCACACAGGCAGCGCGAAAGGAGGCTGAAGAACGCGCAAGGATGAACTCGGAGGAGGACCAGGCAAAGATTCAGGGAATCATGACACTGGCCGGAGGATTGCAGAACTCTCCACAAGGACAAGGAAGGGCTGCAGGAACGCCAGCATCAGCCGTTGGCTCGGGAGTTATGACGCCTGCTCAGAATGCGGCCCAGGCAGCGTCGTCGCAGCAAAGCCAGGCGCACAATCAAGCAGCTGCCCATTCGTATAACCCAGCCACTTCATCGGGATATCCACCATCGACTTTGCCGCAGTCAAGGCCAAGCGTCATGTCGGCAACACAACAGTCGCCCCATCAAGCAGCGCATCCTCAATCGCAAATGTCTATGTCTCCTCAGACCCCGCGATCCCAGCAACAGCAACTACCTCAGCAGCACCACAGTGCTATGCACTCTCCCGCCCACGCCCAGGCTGCTGCTCAAGCTCGTTCCCATACGTCGACACCCGTCGGACAGCTACATCACTCTCCGCCGCCACAACATACACCAACTCCTCAACCTGCGACCCAACACCATCCTCAGCCTCACTTCCCGCCTGCTCCACATACCCAGCTCACATTCCCTTCTCCCCCCGCAAATGCCACGCCTAACATGCACGCACATGGTCAGGTGCCAGTTCCAGATACGCAAACACAGATGGACCAACACATGCACGACAATGCTGCGGAGGCGGCCCTGTTGCAAGGACTTCAGGCAGCGGTGGCAGAGTCTATGTAACACAACGTTGCACAATATGCTTGAAAAGACGACCACATACAGTGGGCTTTTTCTATGCACAACCTTGTTAGGCTCAAAGAACTGTTTGGTGTTTCTGTTTACTTTTTCTCCTGCTTATAAATGTTGATTTCGACGGTGGACCAGTTGCTCTATAGCGAGCCATGGCAACTTGGTACGCGCGTCAGGGGGTGCTAGGCGCAGTTGGCTATAGTCTTTTCCGCGCAAAAGAAAAGTTTATTCTTCTATAGATCCCAAAGCCTCGATGGCTGAATTAAAGGAAAGAGGGGGGAGAGAGAGGAAGACGAGAGGAATAGAGACAGCGTAGTGAAGTGGAGGTCTGGCTTGGAATGATACCACGAATTAGGAGGTGAAATGATAGATGATGACTGGAAACAGCGGGAGATAGACAATTGAATCATCCCTAACCTGCAACAAACATTCTACTCTGGTACTGTGATGTGTCGTGCTACTGACGATGAGTCAAGATTGAAGATTGCCATCGTGGTTAAGGTTACTCATGCCACAAGGTCGAAAACGCCTGAATCGCCTATTCGCGGTCTTGCAGCCGGGAGCTTACAAGAGCATCCCGGTGGTTCGTTTCACGATGCAGCTCGTCGTGTGTCCTGCATGAGCAGTGATACAGATCCACGTTGGTGGCAGCCCATGACTTCGGCTCTCTATCTTGTGGTACGTGCCGTCGACGTTTAGTTCAAGCGCAGAGCCGCATGAGCACGATAAATGAGGCTATAAATTTCCACCTTGTTCCTGATTGCTGGGCTTTGATTTTGAAGTGTTGAGACAAGATACTTTATTTATCCCTTTTTCGACATGTATCACATGCCATATCGACAAAGGCGCGGCTATGAAGCGACCTGTGCGGCGTCAGAGACTATATGTCGCAACTATCCAGTCAGCGTGGAGGTGAATGGGCGTATGTATCCGTCTATTTACTGCCAGTTCCATGCGTGCTGGCAAGTTCAGAATGGGCGAGCATGCCCTCTGCAGAAGTTACCCAGAGCCTCAGTTTGTGGCCGGCGTGAGTTGTTACTAATTCTTGACCGAGATCAAATTGCTAATAAGTGGGCAGATATTCATTGTCAGGCAATAGACAACGGAACAAGATGTGCTTTGGAGGTCAAGCAAGGGGATACGTTGGCATACAGATACTGTCCACAGCTTCGTAAGACAGCCCTTTCACTCTTTGACTTCAAAGCTAATGATTACAGATCTTTGTGAGTATCAAGATTGTCAGAATCTGAGATCACGACATCATGATCAATACCTTCCGCTCTGCGACGACCACCGCTGCCAGTACGACAGCTGTCGGGATCCTAGAGACGGTGGCGCTGGTGTGTTCTGTCGATCTCATACTTGCAACGAGCCTTACTGCGGTGCCTTCGCACCAGGCACAGATCCAGACGATCCTCAACGTTTCTGCGAACGTCATCGCCAATGTCTAAGACCGCACTGCCCACGTCTCTGCCATACTCGCGACAACGGACACCCCACACCTTTCTGCGGTGCGCATTATTGCGAGGCACATGACTGCGATGATGGTCGTGAAAGGGGTGCTTTCTGCCATGCGCATACGTGTGTCGAGCCAGGCTGTGTAAGAGGGAGGCAGACCCCTGGAGAGTATTGCAGGGAGCATACGTGTAGGACTTGGAACTGCCGCGTGAGGAAGATTGGGAGGGAGTTTTGTCCGCAGCACGAGTGTGCCTATGATGGCTGTGACGCTGAAGTGGTGGAGGCTAGGTTTTGTGATCGTCACCAGAGGCGTATGTGGGCTAGATATGGAGGAAGAAGATATCCGGCTCCAGAGATGATATATCCTATCTACGACGACCGTGAGTTCACTTGATCTGTTCTGTTACAACTGCTGATTCAGATTCTAAGGGATATATCCCTATGATATGTGTCCAGGCATCCACGACAGAAGAGGATGTGGCCGAAGACCTGAACACGGCAGTCCATTCTGCCAACACCACATCTGTCACGTCCCCAACTGTCCATCCCCTAGGACCCGATCGTCCCAGTTCTGCATTGATCACGAGTGCCTTGTAGAAGGGTGTCCTCGCCCAAGGAATACACGATCCCGCGGGATTAGAGATGGCGACTCGCAATTCTGCGATCAACATATATGCAGACATCCTGGTTGTCCAATACAAGCTAATGAAGACTCAGATAGATGCATGCTTCATGAGGATGGTATGCCTATGTATAGGAACAGGAACAGGAACAGGAATAGGATGGCGGATGGTGATGGGGATAGAATGGGAAGAGTCCCTCGAGGTTTCAGGAATCGAAATTACCATGATGAGAATGAAGATGAGGATGGGCTCCCGCTTCGTCCAAGACGGTTTGGATGGGCTGAGCCGAGGAGCAATCAATTCGCAGCATGGGGTAGAGCAGTGTGATAGTGCCAAGGGTGACTCATTTCAGCCAGACACTCAGCCACAGTTGACGAGGACTGGTTTGTTGGGGGCGGTCTTTGGTGGGATACATAGAGTAGAACGTAAATCGAGGCTATTCACAAAGACATTTGCGATTGTGGATGCAGGGTCTTGACCATGGCTGGGCCGAGCCGAAGAATAAAGTGCTTGCATTTCGACTTCTGCAAGGGCAGGCGGAAGTGCAAGGGGTCCCGTGGTGACGATGCCTGTTCTTGAAGATGATGGTGTTGAAGAGGGGAGACTGGAGGCCTGATGTACCTGTCATGTGGACAGGTACAGTAGATTTCACTTTCCATACTGTACTACGCATACTAATAGTGCAGCTCTACACAGTGCTGTCATGATATATGCACAGTCTCCTCTCGGTCTCTTGACTATCAGCCCAACCACGCGATGTCCCGCTCACGCTCATCAGGGACGAACACCTGCACAAGCACGTCACCCAGCTAAAGATGCACGACACATGGTGATTTTGATCTTCTATAGGTGCCCTTTCTTTAGTAGTATTCATTAGCCGCAGCCGCCAGGGCTTTAATTTCGTTGATCTCTTTGACGTGCTTTGACAACTGGCCTATCAGTTCACCTCATCACCTCAAAGAACTTGTAAGCTGCGATCAATGCATAAACATAGCATTATCTATTATGAGTCTTGTTCCGTTAGGCTGTTGTATCTAGTTCATTCTTCTGGGCGTATTGCTGACTTCCTCTGCCAGTCTGCCTGCTCTGTAAAATGACCACCATCATCAATGAGACAAAATCAACAGATGGCCACGCGCCACTCCAAGGACTCGAAAATACTCATGTTGGTTCTTCTTTTTCAACCTAAACTAATTTTAAAGTCCCATACTATGTAAATGCTCTGCCACAGTCTGAGTCCTACGCTCGAACTCAGACACTTACTTACACTTTACCACATCATACGCTTCTATGAGCCACGATGTTGAGAATTTCGCGTCCGCGTGCTTCTCAAAATGGAACATTCAAGTCAGAATTTCTTTAATGCGAGTTCTCAATGATTGTTTAAGTCTAAGTGATTGCTTATAAAAACCTTTGCTCTTCACGGGCATAATTCCCTTGTTCAAACACTTCTGACCTTCTTTGATCACCTGCATTGACCCGACTGTCTCTTTCAACTGTCATTCTTTATATCCGTGGGAGCTATTTCGAGACAAGAATAGGTCATTCATATCATCTCAAGACCTTTTCATAAGTCTCAAGTCATCGAGACACTTTCTTTATATCTTCCATCCTACCCAACTATCTTAAACCCGGATCTTCTGTCTTCTAAACTTGACGCGACTCTGGACTATCTCGACTATCGAACACGAAAAGAAACTTAGCGAAACGAAACATCGATCGACATGTCTCGCCGCTGTTATGTCGAGACCAGTCCTGATGGACGTCCTCAACTCGTAACCATCAAGCGCTCCAGATCATACCACCACTCCCACCGCCATCCATGCGACTACTACAAAGTCAGCCGCGAAGAATGGAGGACTCTGGTACGACAGAACGAACTTCTTGATGAGGCCAACCAAGCATACGCTTCCCAGAACGAAACCCTTCGATCTCGGCTTCACAGCTCCGAGGCAGAGACTCATCGACTATGCCACGTCGTCATCCCCTCTCTAAACGACCAAATCGCCAAACTATCCAACGAGAATGAATGTCTTCGCCGTGCAGCCGAAAAGCCCTGTGATCCCCCAGTTCACACTTATCACTTCGAGCTAGAGAAGCTGCGCGCCAAGATATGCAGACTTGAAAAGGAGAACAAGACTCTACGAGATGACAATGGAGATCTTCGCTTTAGAGTGCGCGAGTTATCTAAGCAGATTGACCAGAGTATCAGTCGTAGAGTTGCAGACTTGGCTAAGCAGATTGAATACTGGACGAACCAATCTGGATTCTGGAAGAAGAAGTACGACGAACTACGGGAGCGACATCTTGGTCTGATCACAATTGTCGAGTCCAAGACTGAGAAGACGGAGTATTATGATGATGTTCTGAAGCGACGGCGCGTTTTTTAATTCCTTGTTTGGCCTTTCTTTGTACCCTTAAATGGTTTTGTTATGAGCATCATGATATTATTTAAACAGAACAATGGTCAAGGTCTAGACGGGCCCTTGCTCCCCCCTTTGTTAACACCGCCATCATCTATCACTATTCCCTTGCGCTACTCTTTTCTTCCATAGAGACTTTGTTCCTTTGTTGCTAAGGTATGAAGAAACCTCCCCATCTCATTTGATGGTATACTGACACTCTGCAGTTGGAAATACCCCTGTCTGGATAAAGGTTAGGTTTCAGGTCATATGAACTCAAGGTAACCTATGTCTTCTGCAATGGTTACATTCTACTACAATAGGAGGCATGGCAATACGTTAGACGGAGTTTGTTCATACACAGATACCCTATGTGGTCGAGTAGAGAGAATGATAGTCTCCCACTAAGAACATCTTGCACCCCTCACGAATTGACAAACATAACTATTCTACGTGACCGCGTGGCTAGGCTAGACTGCATGAATGCTATCTCGTGACGTATGGATCCCATCATAAAACAAAAAGGAGGGAAAGGTCATGAGAACTCGACTCAACTCAGGGTAGCATCCAGATATAAAATGTCTTAGAACCTTCACTTTTGCAACGACACTAAGCATCAGGTAAGCAAACTAGCAACACCAAAATATCGCCAGAGATTTACAGTTCCTTCTTAGCTCAATAGAAGCAAAAAGAACTGGCTGGATTCTAATTATTTGAGCATTATGCACTGCCATGGCGTAATGTGGCATGATGGCAGTGCATTTGAGCCGCAATAATCGCATGCTTTGTAAGACGGATGTTCTCGACGGCTCGATATGCACACTGGTGCCTTGCTGTCTCCTGGCGAACCATACTAAGATCTGCATTTTGTTTGACATGAGCCGAGTACTTTACGCGGTGCAACGCGATATCCCGTGGTATCGCATATCTTCTCCCGAAACTCGTGGGGCATGTCAAAGATAACGACGACGTGAAATGGAGGGGCAGACGAGGCAACCAAGGAGAGAGGGGTAATGACTGAATGACCAATAGAGGCGGCCTCAAAGTTAGAAAACAGGCGGGAAACGATGAAAGAAAAAGTCCTATTCTAGGCAGAAGGGGACTTTGGCACCATAAGGATTGGTCGCCTGGTTTAAGTGGAAAAAGGCGACCAGGATAACCTTTGGGGGCCGACAAGGCATTGGATGTTGATGTATGGAACTGGTGGAGGAGCGGTTTGAGAATACGCATGCATATGGCAGTGCCTTGATCCGCGAAAGAGCAGTCTGATGAGGGTGTGGTAACAAGGGAAAATGGCTGCACACCGAACTAGTATCGAGGTTTGAGGGACCGTTCCGAACCGTGAATGAAAGGGTGCGGAGTAGACGGGAGGGAGCCGTAGTGGTGGTATCGTGACGGATGTGGAGAGAGTCGAGCATGACATGAAGGCGCCAAGAGGTGTGAGTCTGAAAGCGGGTGACCAGTGCGAAGAGGTTGCGAAGCCTGGCTCGAGGTTGCCTGGGTGAAGTAAAGTTGGTCTAGTAGCTGGGGTACAGTATTTTCACATGACCTTTCCTAACAGCATTATCCAGTTGACTCACATGGAGGGCCTCAGAATAAATTGGTCGCGCTTATCAAAACAGGGGCTGTGTATAGTTAGGAATGACAAGCAATTTGATCAACAAATTGCATTGTAAAAACGGCACACCTTGATCTCGAAGTGTGCGTGACCTGAAAAAGCGATATCACAATTTGATACGCCTTTGGTTGAGAGTGGCCAGCAAGCGGGTAGATCCGTAGTTTAATTGGCGATGCCATGGTAAAAGGTTTGACGTTTACTTTCCGAGTTCGGAAATCTTATCGAAGCCTGTCAACCGTGTTAAACCCGCACCACAAGCCATTTAGCGACCGTTACCGTTATAGGCAAACGAAACCTGGAGGGTGGAGGTGGGCGGGAGCAGCCTCCCGCTGGGTCGGTAAGGCAGGGTACGTACTGGGCTTGGGGCTGAAGACCTGGGGTCGGTACACAAAATTCCATATCTGAAATTGGTCAACAAACAATCAAATTCAGGGGGTGGGAGTTCAAACGCACGCAATAAAGCATAAGGAGCTAGGGCTGGAAACGTGGTAACGGGGGGTAGCTTGGCGACGGAATGCGGGAATGCAAGGAGAGCCCACGATAATGACGGAGCTCGCTCAACTCAATCCACAAAAAAGCTCATAATCAAGCATTGAATGCCAGCAAGAGTCAAACTAGCTCGAGGCCACCTCACGAGCCGAAAACAAAGGGGGGCGCTTATGAGTCTAATGGCCCAGCCCCAGTCGATATCAAACACTCCATTCCCGCCGAGTCAGAATTTTCTATTCTGCCCCAATTTTGTTCTGACAAGCGGGTAGGGAAAGAAGCTCGAGCGTTTAGGTTATTAAACCCCCAGAAGCGGGAGGCCCTCCCGGCGGATGTCCCCCTGGTCCGGGCCCAGGCGACCGGCGATGGGCGGCGGGCGGCTTCTCAAGGACTAGGGCATGGGTCTTGACTTGAAATGGTTTTGCTCTCCACACGCAAGCTCTTCCATTCCGACCTGATGAGCGATGTCTCCCCACGATTATGTTGGAATACCAACTAGAATCGCAGCACGATATCGTACCTACATAGGTAGTGTAAATCGTTTCCCTCCATTCATGATGCGCATGATATCGCACATCCTGCAGAATACATCATGGGTTACCAACCGAAGCCATGCTGCCACTCATCTGCTCCCGGATGCAAGAAAGCGAGCTGAAAGGGTTGGGCGACCAAAGACAAACGAACAAGGGGGGGGTTCACACGCATCACATCAACGGCTGCCCTGGTCCAGAGTAACGCACCACGGGAGTTGAAGTTGGATGGATGTTTGCACATACACGAAATAATTGTAAAGCTTTCTTTCCATGTGCCGAATAACTTGCATTGACGACAAGGGTGACGGCGCAGAAACGCAACCACCGATACGATGAAACTTCCATGTTAGCACGTCAAGCGAATCCTTCCCTCCGCCAGCCCGATGAGTCACTCTCCTATAGCTTCCGTCCAAAACGGACTCTTTTGGGTGCTTTGTGGGCAGCGGAGGCGCTCCAGGGGCGGCGTAAGAAGTGACTTGGTCGCTCGCTCAGATGGCGGTGTCCGCACCGGTGACAGTACTTAGCCACGAAGCGGCATGAAGCGGAGTCGTCGGCCAGCAGATAATCAACAACACGACCTTTGTCGAAAATAAGTTGGTGTTGGCGAACCAGTATTGTAAACGTTGCGACGATGTGAATCATAATTCCCTCCGTATCTTTTTTTGGAGGGTGGTTAGTGGTAGGAAGGTAAAATGTTCGTGGATATCATGACAATCAACGGAAGTGAAACTGGCTGTTTCCGACCCCCCTGTCTGTCATCCAGGACGTGTGGCTGCTGACTGGGGGTAGCTTTTAGAGACGGTGACGATGTCGGCAACACTTTTCTAAGCCCTTTCCTCTGCCTAGGCCTTTTCTCGTTGCTTTTCCGCTGCAGGTGTTTTCTTTTGCTTTGCCTAGGTTACGGCGTAGCACAGGCCAGGGATAATAATACCAATATCACATATCATGCCCCTTTTTCGGCGATATGAGGGATTCAGGAATCAATGTCCAAGCAAAGAGCCGGGGGTGGTATAAGAGCACAAAGAGACCAGAATTTAGAAGCCGAACCGGCAGAGAAACAGAAAAAGACCCCGGCTTTGACAGGGGTTTAACGTTTGGAGGTGTGGGCGAAGTGGGCATTGGGCTCTAGTCGGCTCCCCTTGGGCACTGAGCGTTGGTTGCGGTCCCTGGTGTTGGCGTCACAACGCTTTCATTCATCGACTTTGCGCATACCGCACTGGCGGGTTTAATGTGTTGAGAAAGTATCCATGGCTTGTCTGAAGCGCAAATGCGAGTCTGAGTGTGTGCGCCAGGCCCAGTTTCCATTTACCATGTCTCTGATGTTCCAATCACGAGGTTGGAAAAAAGAGTTCCCCTTCACTCCCTCTTTGCTGGTTCTCACACCCTCAACTCCCTTTATTCTCTCAGTCTGAACAGGGGTTGATGCTATTTTGTAACGCAGTGATGAGGATAGGAGAGGAAGAAAATGCCTGTTCCCTATTCCTCGGGTGCATGTGCGATGCGGGTGTGTATAGTACCACATACCTAGGTAGTATGTAGGATCAGAGGAGGAGTCAGCATTCTGTCTGTCTGTCCCTTTCCCGTCTCTCCGTCTCTCTCCGCGTTTGCGTGCACCGTAATGTACCGACTGTGCATAGACGTGCAGTTGAGTATAGGTGAGACCATAGCAGACCGCAGATAATCGTCTCCCCATCTGCGTTTTGTCGTCATCTAATCTGTCCATGTTGAGCATAGATCAAAGACGAGTGAGTGTATGAAAGTGTGTAAGACGATAGATGAAAAGCAAGGAATTTTCCATAAACTCTGAGGCAGGCACAGACGACAACAACCATGTCTCAGAAGGAGCACCTCATTCACTTCAATTTCCTTTCTTTCCATATTGATACTCTATCCCCTGCCTCTGTGTCTGCCTACCTGCCTTGCTTTGTCTTAGGCCTGGCCCTTCCTTTATTGCGCCCCCCTTCTATAGCCCACCCCCCATTCCAGACAACTAAGACACCTGTAGCCTGTAGGCCTTTCTTTTTTTTCTCTCCCACAGCCGAGTTTGACAAAACCCATATCAACCCGAATATTCTACTTTTTCCCTCTTCTGCCTGCACCTGAACTTACTTCTCTTTTCACCACACACAGGTTTATTCCGACCTTTTCTCTCGCATATTCTATTCTACTCTGTACTGTGCTACAGAAAGGATATCTATCTATTGTCTTTGTTTTACTTGTTGGTAAAGCAATAGTTAACAACTAACTTGAGTTACACCTCAACTCATCTCTCTTAACTCGACGTCACTTTTTTGCCTCTGTGGCCCCTCGCGCTCCCGCTCCCGTTCCCGCTATAACCCTTCCAGTAGAGAGCTTCCAGCCAAAAACGCCCGCGCTCTTCTACCCGCCTGCCAGACCAAATTACACCGCTGGTCGTTGGGCAGAGCTGCACCGCAGCGAACAGAGTTAACACCACAAAATAACCACGAACACACATTATCGAGACGACTTTGGCGTCACTTCTCGCCTCTTCTCTATTTCTTCTTTCTTGTTGTTGGCGATCGTAAACAGTCCAAACCGACGCCATGCCTCTCCACCAGCGGACTTCTGCTAGCCCATCTAAGAGGAGCAGCTCCTCTGTTAGGAGCACTGTCTCCGCCAGAAGCACTAACTCTTCTACCTCCTCCAAATCAAGGGCCTTGACTGGTATGTTCAATGGTCGCCTTTCAAGTTCTCTACCTCAGCCGACTAATTTCACTTTTCCTTCTGTAGTGCAAGACCATGACTACGAATATGAATTCGATATCGAATCCGAGCTGCGCGACGATCTTCAAAAGGCAAACACAGAACTCAACAAGGCCAATGCCGAGAACGACAAATTGAGCGCCCAGAACGACAAGCTCAAGGCCACCATCGAGCAGCTCACCCGCAAGTTGAACGAGTCCAAGACATCACTCGAAGAGACCACCCGGAAGCTTAACGAGTCTACAATCTCATGCCGTGAGCTCAAAGCTCAGATCGAGGGTGTACGCTCTGAGGCTGATGTCCTACGAGAGGACAACCGCCGTCTTAACACCGACTTCGAGGAACTCAAGGGCGATAAGCGACGCCTGAACAATGAGTGTGAGGAACTCAAAGAGGAGAAGGAGGCCCTGAAGGAGGAGAATGAGCGCGTCAAGTTCGAGCACCATGATCTTGAGCAGCGCTTCATCGGTCTCCAGGCCAAGCATGAGAACCTGACCATGCGCCACAATGCTGTAAGCAGCCAAGCTCCCTCGTCTGCCATGACGAGCCCCATGTCCAGCCCAATGCCCAGTCCTCTTCCTGCCCCTCTACAGGAGGGCCGTAAGAACCCCTCCCGTCCTTCCAGCAAGGCTTCTAGCAAGGCCTCTAGCAAGGTTTCTACCAAGTCTTCCAGCAAGCGAGAGCCTCGCGAGGACCGCCACCGTGAGCAGGAGGATCGTCACCAGTCTGAACGGGAGGAGAGCTCTCGTGAGGAACACACTCGTGAGAGACGTCACCGGGAGGATCGCGAGCGCCGCGACCGCGACCGTGAGGATCGAGGACGCCCCCAGCGCAGCGAAAAGCCAAAGGACAAGGAAAGATTTGAGGCCAAGGAACGCTTGTCGAAGCGGTTTGATGAGCGCCCTGCCGTGGCACCTCGTCAGACCAGCTTCATCGAGCCATGGGGTCCCGGAGGTTGGTCTCCTCGTTATGATGCCCCCCCAAGCGACTTTGACGCTTACGGCCATATGGCAACAGGACGCAAGGCCGCCAGTGTTGTGTCTAGCGGGGCTTATTCCAATGTCCCTCGCACGACCAGCATTGTCAATGGTCACTTCAGCAGCGACAGCAGCGCATACGATGATGAGCGGTATGAGGATGGTTCTTACCATGCCTACCCCATCCCCAACTAATCATTCTTTTGGCTTGTTTGATCTCCCGTTCTCGAGGTTACCTGGTCTCTGACTGGATGCCACCAAAGAGAATGGGCCACAGGTCAAAACAGGATGCCCATGGGGATCGTCATGATTCACATGAGCACTCCCTCCTCGAGACGCCCTCGAGGAGTGAGATCCTAGTAGGTAGGGCTTAACACCAAGCTCCACCTCTTGTCTCTTCCAATTGTTACCGATGATCGGATTCTGGCCAGTCACCTTCCTATTATGACTCAATTCCAACAGCGAGTTGTTCCAGGCCTAGTCTACTAATGTGTCGCCTCTCCCCCGCATGGAATATGGTTACCGACGCCGGCCAAGATATTTAAGCTCCCCACAGGATTATCCAATCCCACTCGCAGCATCCCAACTTAGACTTACATTTATTTTTCCGTTGGTTTTTGCAGCTATACACAGACCCCAATCGAGTTGATTGGGATCTCTGCTTTTCATACATACGTTTTACATCATCGCCATGAAGCTTTACCCTTCCATTCCCGATGACCTCGCCGCCTGGGTGCAGCAGCAACCTGTATTCTTCACAGGCTCTGCTCCTACTCATGGCTCTCATATCAATGTCTCTCCCAAAGGCCTTTCAGACTCGCACTTCGCTATCCTAGGACCCAACCAGTGTGCCTATATCGACCGCACTGGTTCCGGATGTGAGACTATTGCCCATTCATACGATAATGGCCGCCTGTGTTTGATGTTTATGAGTTTCGGTCCCGCCCCTCGGATTGCCCGCTTCTTCTGCCGGTCCAGGATTGTCGAATGGGATGACCCAGCCTTCCCAGATCTGGTCCGTCGTATCTCCAAGGGAAAGCGTTCTACATTTGATGGCGCCAGAGCCATCATTCTGGCTGATGTGTTTGAAGCCCAGACAAGCTGTGGCTTCGGTGTTCCCCGGGTGAAGAGGGGTATATATGCACCTGATGAGACCTCTGAGAAGAATTTGTCCCTTGAACAAGTCCTTCGCGAGGGTGTGGATGGTAAAGTGAATGAGCTGGCTGTGTTTGAGGAGAGGCCTACCATGGATATGTGGGTGGCAAAGCGAGTTGAAAACAATACGTTGTTGGAGTATCATAAGGAAACCAACGTGCTGAGCATGGATGGTTTGCCTGGACTCAGAGCTGCTCGTCGGAGCGTGGGGGAGACGTTATGGTTTACGGATGCAAAGGCGCATGCAAGGAAGGTTTTTGCTCAAAGCGAAGCGATTGCAGTTGGATTTGTTCTAGCATTGTTGTTGTACGTTGTCATGGTTTCAGTTGGGGCGATTTCAGCGTCATGGCCAAGGATTCAGGCTTGAATGGATATAGGAACGGCGCAATTTTCGGTTTTGGGATACCAAAAAGTACAGTGTTGTTTGGCTTTCAAAAATGGTGTTCCCTCGAAGGGATTGGATTTCTTTACTTTTTTCTTTTTCTTCTTGTTCTTATTTTCTTTTCTAGATACACATTTTCGTTTTGTTGTTGCCATACCAGATAGATTTGTAACGCGTTTACTACAGGATGCAGGTCCAACAGCCTGTGTAGGAACGATACCACCCATGTTAGGATAGTTTATTAGTATTAGTAGCACTAGAGTCTTTGATTTGAATGTTCTTTTAAAACACTTGCTTCCTCTTCTGCCTCTGTGAATATGAATTGAATGTCTGGTTTTCCCCTCACTTTCTTGACGCCTCGTGAGTCATAATGGACTCTCCGCACTTGATTCAGGGGTTACGCTCTTATGTACGCCATGACCAACTAGATGACGGCATTCACCAAAGAGGTTTTTGCGGGATTTATCTGATACTATGGTAATGATCGAGACCTTTTCTTGGTTCATGCAAGATCTACCATCTGCATTGTTCGGGAGACGGGTATTGGGAAAGCTCATGAAGCATCCGCATGTGCCTGTTGACTTTCTACCCCAAGGCCACGCCGCATATCTAACCACATACTCAATGTAATCACTTATCAACACGAACTGTAGACGCAAAAGTCATATTGCTGCTTCGATATCTGAACCTAGCATAATCACCCCCTTCCTCGCTATGCCACCTGTCGCTTCCTCAAACGCCACTTCCGTCGGAGTAATTGTCTATCAAAAGATCGACTCTGCATTGGATTCGTAGCATGCGCGCGCAAGGCAAAGGCACAAAGACTATAAATCAGCCGTGCTCTTATCTGCTTGCAATGGTTCAGCTGCTCTGGTACCCGCTTCCTGGCTGCGTAGTGTCCATGCTTTGAGATAAGTTGGACGTATTAAGCAACTACTGGATTGCACATTGGGCTCATAGCAGCGGCACAACGGCACAGATCAGGCTGCTCGCTAGAGGGGTAAGATGTTCGAGAAAAGTCCGAAAAACATCTCTTTACACTCAGCCGCCAGCGTTGGCTGGAGCTGGAGGAGGAGGAGCAGTCCCTTGATTATTAGGACCAGAATCCTTTACCTTATTACCTCCACCTCGTCCACGTCGACCACGACCAGATGCCTTTTCCGGCGCAGCAGATCCAGCAACTGGGGCTGGTACTGTCGTCGCCACGTTTGCATTCGTGCTGGCAGGCTTCTTGTCCTTGCGCTCCAAAACTTGCACAGTGCCCTGTGCAACAGGGATAGGACTGGCTGTAACAGCCTTCACAAGACCCTCGTGTTCAGCAAAGTCAACATAAGCAAACCCCTTGCGCTTGTCAATTTCAACAAAGGTAATTGTCCCAAAAGCTGAGAGCGTTTGTTTCAGTAACGCCTCAGTAACACCTTGAGAGGGGTTGGCATGCTTGACAAAGCCACGAGTAGCGTCAGGAGAAACAGTCGGGGGTTTCTTCTGGGCATTAGACCCTTTATTGGGTCCGCCTTTGGAACCACCGGCTGCATTGTCTGCTTTCGATCTCCCACCCTGTGCGGCCGGTGCTTGCGTTGTGGTATTCGCTGGCTTCGCCGGTGGGTTGGATTCAGCATCAGTAGCCTTTTTCTTGAGGAGCACAATTGGAGGGTTGGGAGCTGGTTGACTCGATGTGCTCTCCTTAACTTTCTCCTTCTCTTTGCTGTTTTCCTTGCCCTTCTCCTTTTGATTGCTCTTCTCAGCGTTCTTTCCGCCTCGAGTTCTGCGGTTTGATTGCTGCTGTTTGTTGGCATTTGCAGCACCTCGTCCCTTCGGTTCTGGTGCTTCGGCCTCGGCTGATTTTACAGGCGTAGATGGGCTTTCAGAAGCACTGGCCTTTGCTTCGGCAGTAGATGTGCTCTCCTTTTCTGGTGTCTTTGCATCTGCTTCTGCTTTGGCAGCGTCTTGACGTGCCTTTCTATGCGCACTTCCGGGACTGAGACCAAGATCTCGCTGAAGGATCCTTGCTGCAGCCAAAATTCCCGCACGTCGGCTCTTGGGTGCAGTTTCCTGGGCGTTGGAGTCATTGGGCTGGCTTTTAGCATTGGTCTTCGAGGTCTCCGCATTCGGCTCAGAAGTCGCATTCTTGGTGAGGATCTTGACGGTTTCCTTAGGGGTCTTTTCGCCTTTTTCGGCCTTGGACTCTTTGCCCTTCTTCTTACCCGAGTCTTCGTCCTTGGACGAGTTCTTCCCCTTAGCGCTCCTAGAATCCTGTCCATGTTTGGAATTTTTAGAGGATGAGCTCTCCTTGGCTTTGTTTGCCTTCTTCTCCTTGAGGTACTCGATGAGTGGCGTAGTGGTGACTTTAGTCTCCACCTTACCAAGGTCGTCGCCCTCTTCTCCTTCGACGGTTTCTTTTGGCGGTGCTGGGTTCGCTAGTTCCTCCAAGAAAGCCATGAATTCAGGATCCTGATCGATTGTTCCCTGTCGAGCATCGGTGCGCTTCTTATTGCTTGGGACCTTCTTGTAAATGGCAAACTCAACTGAAGGAGGACCAATCAAAGAAGGGCTATTGAAAGATGCCTTCGCATCCTCCCAGACAGCGGTTCGCACAGCATCGCTCAGAGGCAAGATATCATCCTTTTTCATAACATGAACGTAGGCGCGACCAGGCCGAGAAGGTTTCGAGGGGCTTTGAATGGTGTTAGTAATGTAAAACTCGGTTGCAGTGTTCAGTGCCATACTCAGTGGAAATCTTTCCTCCAGCGAAGGAAAACCAGTCAACCTTGCCCTTACCCAACTCCCACTCACTTCCAAGAATTGATACAAATTCTGCCTGGGTCATTCCAGGAGGTAGACGACGTATCACGAGCTTTTCACCCTCATTATGAGCCTTGGTTTTGGTGGGTTTTGGAGTTTCGCTTTCATTCGCATGCTTTCATCATAGTTAGTCAGAGTGCTGTCGTTTCTCGCGTGTCTCGTGATGTCACCTTATTGGCCTCGGTAGATCTTGCATTAGAGCCTCTCCCTCTAGCTTTTCCATGAGAACTGTTCTCGTGTGACCCCTTTCCCTGAAACAGGTCAGATATCTATGTCCCTTACTCCCGAACGTCACTAATCACCTTTGTTGGTTCTGAGGTCTGATTTGATGATGTCTGAGGACCTCCGTTTGCCCGTCGAGACAGGACTTGTGGTGCTTGAGATGACATCTCGCATACCGCAAATACCTTGGGTTGTGACTGATGATACCGTTATGTTGATCGATATGGCGAAAGGCTCAAGTGAGCACTGTAAGGCTTGATGAGTCGCGGCCTCGCTGCCCCGCCAGTGGCAGTGGGGCGATATTGGAGAGATATGCGATTATCCACCGAATGATGAATTCCTCACTTGTAATCTCGATTATAAGTTCGTACGGTCTTTCAAAGATAAAAGGGAATCTTCAAGTTAGTAAAAGAGGCATCTTGAAGTGGGTAAGAATTATTTATGAGATTAACCGAAACAGCAGGTGAATATCTTGTCCAAAGCTTCTCTCTCTGGTCATGGCCGAAGAATTCCCGGCGTTTCACTATCGCACCCCTCCATAGCAAGGCAAGCAGGCCTAAGCATAAGCCCCACCCCATTCGCCGCATGTGTACCAGTACTACGACCAACACCTCACATATCGCAGGACAGGCTTCGCTGGGCTGGCATATCTCTCCCCGCCATCATACTCCCACATAGACCCTTCATTGAAGGGGCATGCTAGATCATGGCTTCAGGCGTACCTCGACCGGGCCCTGCGAACCTGGGGCCCAATGCCGGCCTTGATGAGTGGCTAGAGGAGGCCAAACAATGTCATTACTTGCCTGAGCGCGCTATGAAGGAGTTGTGCGAGAAGGTCAAGGAGATTTTGATGGAAGGTGAAGACCGCCAGACTCAGATGCACCGCTGACCTGCTGACTCGGTACCTCAGAATCCAACATTCAGCCAGTCTGCACCCCCGTCACTGTGTGCGGCGACATTCATGGCCAGTTTTACGACCTTCTAGAGCTCTTCCGGGTATCTGGCGGTATGCCAGGCGAGTCCAACGTGCAGGCGCCGAAGACATCTACCACCGTCATTACCTCGGACGACATCGAGCCGCCAACAGAGATCACAAACCCCAAGTTGAGGAAGAAGATAAAGTCTTCGGGCGAGAATGCAACATCCAGCGGCGCGGAGGAGACCGAGGCAGTCGAGGCAGAGGAGGATCCTGATTCCACAATGGCGGACCAGACCGAATCTGGCGTCACAGTGAACAAGTCAAGTCAAAGTGCCGATACGCGATACATTTTCCTGGGAGATTTCGTGGATCGAGGTTACTTCAGTCTGGAGACATTCACATTACTAATGTGCCTGAAGGCGAAGTAAGCACCCTCCGGTGCTGGTCGCGTGTCTTGGCTAACCATATTCCACAGATACCCTGACAGAATAGTGCTTGTTCGTGGTAACCACGAGTCTCGACAAATTACCCAGGTGTATGGATTCTACGAAGAGTGTCAGCAAAAGTACGGCAACGCCTCTGTTTGGAAGGCCTGCTGTCATGTGTTCGATTTCCTCGTCCTTGCCGCCATCATCGACGGTGAGATTCTCTGCGTCCACGGTGGTTTGAGTCCTGAGATTAGGACGATTGATCAAATCCGAGTTGTTGCCCGTGCGCAAGAGATTCCCCACGAGGGCGCGTTCTGTGACTTGGTGTGGTCAGATCCAGAAGATGTCGAAACGTGGGCTATCAGCCCTCGTGGCGCTGGATGGCTATTCGGAGACAAAGTCGCTACTGAATTCAATCATGTCAACGGTTTGAAATTGATTGCTCGAGCCCATCAGCTCGTTAACGAGGGTTACAAGGTATTTAGCGTCCTTCTGTCTCGACAAGGGTTATACTAACGATCATCAGTATCATTTCCCAGAGAACTCGGTAGTGACTGTCTGGTCGGCACCTAACTACTGCTACCGCTGTGGTAATGTTGCTTCTATCATGGCTGTGGATAAGGACTTGAACCCTAGGTTTAGCATTTTCTCTGCCGTTCCTGACGATCAGAGGCATGTACCGGCAAACAGAAGGGGACCTGGTGATTACTTCCTGTGATGAAGAATGGTGTACGCATAACGGACTTAATGGCATATGTTGCATGTAGAATAGCATAGGGTCAAAATACCCATGGTCCATCGGTGATTTTTAGTGGGAATGCAAATGGATGGTTATGGGTTGGGTAGAGTTGATATCTCAATTACGAGCAAGGATGATCACTTCATTTATTACATTTGTGACGTTGGCGATGTTTCTTGGCTGTTTTAGTAAACAGGGAGTTTAATCTATCGAATGGTTCCCCGTATGACATCGTCAACTCTGTTTTGGTAGAAGTTATCTGAACCCTTCTCGGTGGATCACTCACCAAAATCCACCTCCCACCAACATGCCAAAACCAAAGGGCTCCAAAAGCAATCCAATACAAAATGCCATCAACGAATGGATTGGCTCAGGCCAAGCTTCCAAAACAGAAACGGATCAAGAATGGAATGCCCAACTCTTAAACAGCGCACCCAAGCGCTTTACCATCTATGAACCAATGGTCATGCTGCCCACAGGAAGCTTCACATCCTTACCCTGGACAACCACATTACAAGACGCCGGCCCAGATTCATGCCAACAACTCTGGTCCCAGATCCTAGCACAACTGTCGACACAGGCAAAGGAGCCATTGACTCATCTCGCCGTGAATGAAGGCATCCCTCTACACAAGGCAGGTGAGGAGGCGGATGAGAATGTGAGAAGAAGTCCAAGTGGGCTGCGCACTCTCTGCGGAGATTTTGGGTCCTCATATGTCTCAGCGGATGAACCTTCCGAAGAAGATTTTGAAAACACTTTATGGGTTTCGACGAAGCAAAATGGGATATTCCAAACCTGGGCACCCAGCTGGACAATGTTTAGCCGGGGAAATGTCAAAGAGAAAGCAAGACTGTTAGATATGGGAAACAAGACACTTCAGGGCTCATGGGCGGTTGACCTCTATGCTGGAATCGGCTACTTTGTTTTCTCATATGCTCGACTTGGCATGAGAGTCTTATGCTGGGAGATCAATCCATGGAGTGTCGAAGGTCTACGACGTGGCGCAAAAGCAAACCGATGGAGCGTTCGAATTGTCCAAGGTGAAGACTTGGCCCTACCAAACGAAGACATCGTAAACGGAGGAGAGCAGATTATTGTGTTCCTGGAGAGCAATGAGAAAGCTCTACAGAGGATACAGTCGCTACAGGGTAATGGCATGACACAAGACATACGGCACATCAACTGTGGTTTCCTACCAACAAGCGAACCAACTTGGAGAGACACGTGGGATATTTCCTCTCCAGCCAGTGAGACATGGCTGCATCTTCACGAAAACGTTGGCGCAAACGACACAGAAACAAGACGCCAGGAGATACAGCGCAAATTCGACGACTGGAGCCAAGGAACAGATCGGGCAGCCAAGGCCGAGCATATCGAGCTTGTCAAGACATTCGCACCAGGCGTCTGGCACTGCGTCTTTGACGTTCATGTTTACAAGATCTAGCTATATCGTGTATCATGCTTATTATCCCAATAATATCGAGTACATAGAATTTCAGTTTCATCCATCATGATGTCATGCGCCCCTATCACACACGCCCCGAGTCCCTGCCCCAGTCATGGTATTCTAGGTAAAGTAAAATACAGTTCGGTATCGTGTTCTATTGTCTATTGTCGTCGGAACTTTTGAGGAATGTTGGCCTCGACGATGGAGAGCTTCTGCATTGCTTCGAGGCGTTCTTGGGCATCCTCCATCTCGTCGTGTTTCTTAAAATGCTCAATGTCTTCGGGATGTGTCAGGTCCTCGAGCTTGGTGTTGTCGTCGTGGTACTTCTCCCAATGGTGGATCTCATACTCATACTCGTCATCGCCGTGGTGGCCGGGGCCAGTGTTAAGGTCCGGGAGTGTCTTTCCAGACTTGATAAAGTCCATCCACTCCTGGCGACTGACAGAGGAGTCGCCGTCCTTATCGAGAAGACCCAGCAGAACATCGCGGACCTCGTCCTTCTTCTTCTCGGTCATGCCCTTGTTTGATTCGTCGAAGAGACCGTACGTTCGCATCAACTCAGCAGCTTGCCACCAGCCGTCGCTGTTGTAGTCGTGGAGGGTGAAGAAGGAGTCGGCGTCCCAGCCTTGAACATGATGCTCCTCTGGAAGTATAATGTTAGTATAGTCGTGTGGAAATTTGAAGGGAACAACATAGCAACATACCCGCCATATGTTTGGTCATCCAGTCCGCATTGGCATCAACAACGGGCTTCTGCGAGTGAGCGCCGCCATGGGCAAAGACGGTGGTCGCAAGAGCGACACTGAGCAAGACACCGGTGCGCATTGTATTGTAGACCTGACGCGAGAAATACAGAAGAGGAGCAAGAAGTCTAGACTTGTGCGATGCAGTTATAACAAGGCAATTGACGTTGGGAGAAGCCGACTTTAAAGGAGTGAAGTTCCAATCTGAAAGGACCTAGCAACGACTCAAGCGAACGTGGTCCCTACTGATCTGGATTTGGAGGTGGGCTGCCAGGGGTCTCAAAGCGCTGAGCCACTAAAAGCTTATCTCCCAGGTACAACGTTATGGCTGTTGGACAGCCTCAACGCTGAGTATCAATAACCTGGGCTGGATCGTTCTTTGAACCTTGGAGGTATGTAAATTAACTTTTATATTTTCTACGGCCGATCTAGAACAGGCACAACTTTTCTCTAAGATCACTGCCATACCTAAGCTTTAGGTTGGACTGTATTGAATTTCTCTGAATCAATCCTTACAAACTCATCTCCATTCCTTGTCGTTCCGAGGGATCTACAAACAACATTTGGTGGGGGATTCTAATTAAGCATAACGTCCGTCACCCAAAGACTGGCCACCCCCACAGACCGGCCACCCCGACCAAAACACCAAGAACCGGATATCATGATCAATTAACTAATTATCTCAACACCACATTTTTTATATTAAATAAAAATTTAGTCAGTGAATATTTAGATGAAACTGAGTACAAAGGTCCTCAA